GAAGAAGAAGAAGAAGAAGAAGAAGAAGAAGAAGAAGTAGCAGTAGAAGAAGAAGATCGAATGAAAAAAATTGCGTCAAAGGTATTAAAAAGTTTTGGTATGGGTTGATGAATGTGGTTCAAATGGAACTTATTAGAAGCATATGCGATTTTAAAATATTCAATGATCGTTGTCGCGGTTGAAATCAAGTCTAAAGTGATGAAATTGTAAATAATAAACTCTTTATGCTGTATAGCGCCCTCTCAACACGGATATTACTTTATCTTTAAAACAATGTTTTTTTTTACTACAATCGACCGATTTAATAATAATAATATTTAGTTTTTATATAGCGCTTAACACAATGTCTCTAGGCGCTATTTTTAAATATTTGAAATTTACCGGGATCACCGGTAAATTTTTAAATATTCAATTTCTCGAAAGCAGAAGGGTTTAGGGGCTAAATTTTCTATTGCTTATAATACATCCACAGGGGCATCCAAATGTATCAACATTTTAAAGAATTACTATCAAACCAATTTTTAAAATTTCCCAAAATTTTGCATTACCTTTAAAGATACTATGTCCCATTTGCAGGCCCCAAAGATGAAAAGGTTAAATTCCAACGGCATTTGAAAGATAATAATAATTTAGAACGTCCCTCAAAACAAAAGTTTTAGTAAGAGTCTGATTTTCAGACCCTTGTACCGAATGGTTGTACGTTATGTGCTGCGCAAAGTTCAAATTTTGGACATTACAAGGAGTGGGTTATTGATGTAGACAAATGCTCATGTACCCTTTACTGCTCATTTTATGCCATGTTATTACCACCAAGACAAAAAAGAAGTCAGTCACTCAACTCAATAGTGTCGGACAGTGAAGTCTAGAAAGTAAACGGGTTTCCTTGCATAATTTTAATACTGCTAATGGTTAAATTTCACAGATAGGACATATTTCACTGACAAAGTGAATCTCACCATGATTTCCTTCAAATATATAGTAAACTTATCCTATTGATATTAATATACCATTTTATAATTTACAATCCTGTTTTTTGTTTGTGAAATTTTTTGTACTCTAACTTATTACTGAATTTTTAAATCTACTGTTTTTAATGCATTTTTATATGATACAATGTAAACCAAGTATTGATAGTCTTTGGACTTTTTATTTGGTATATTTTTAATAAAACCAAAATTGAATTGAATTGAATTCGTGACATATTCATATTCCCTGCAAAGTTCTACAAAATTTGATGTTGGCTGCAGATGGGACATAGTACCTTTAACATAGTTTTGAAACAGGTTTTTGTTAAAAAATGCTCGTTTTAAATTACAAATTTATTTAAAGACAACTATCCCCTATTAAAGACTAGCATCCCTTAGAATTCATCCATCCCCCTCCAAGAAGATTTTGAATTTTATATGATAGAAATATAAATATGTAAATGATATACTGAGCATTTTTTTAAATTTGTTATCTTTATTTTAACAAAATCATTTTTGTGTACAAAATATTAAATGTTAATCAAATTGTGCAAGATAGACACTTGACAACTTCTGAATAAAGCTTGAAGGAAGATGCTTGATTTGAGGGAAGCTATCGCTTGATTTATTCAGCACATGGCAAGAAGGGAATGACAGACTATATCAATTGTGAATACATCTATTAGCAAATTGTACACAAGGTGATTAAAAGGGAAAAATACTGTGAATAAAACAGGATAAATAAGACTCTAGTATAAATAATCCATAATCTACAATTTGGTATCAACATACATTACTACACAATATTGAACATCACATTATGGCTACATAATATTAACATGTATATAAAGGCATAACATTGGTAATCTGTATGTTTATGATACATTTAAAGTGCCCTTATTTTTTTGATCCACACATCAAAATAAATCGAGAACAAGTAGGTATAAAGACAGAAAACTTTGATATATATATATATATATATATATATATATATATAACCAAACATTTAGAGAAACATACCGTAAACAGAATGGAAAAGATAGTGAGAAAATGGCAAGTAGCAAGGAGGAGAGAAAAACTGGGAAAAAGGGAAAACAAATAATTGAAAAAAAGAGGAAATTATGGAGAATGGTGATCGATTCAAGGAAAAAAGAGAATGTAACCCGTATCTGGATCTGCCTTTGAAAAGGGAGAAGTTCCCCTGGTATGCCCTGCCCATTTTTACCCCTACATGAGTCAGAGGTAGCTAATTGCACTTCACTTCTAACTGGACTGTGAAACCATGCAATCCTTGGCTGCACAAGTGTAACTGAAATAACCCCAGCCAGACATGGCACCTTATTAAGAAGAAAAAGAATAACAAATGAAAAAGGAGCTACGAAAACAAAGTACCAAATTAAAGGTATAACCCCCAAACCTGCTTCACGAAACTTGTTGTCAATAACAAGATATGCTAATTGTTATGAGCTACTGAAATCCTTACATTTGATCGACTACAATCAGATTTGACATTTATCTGTGGCAAATTTTTGTTAATAAAAAGTTTTATGAAACAGGATCCAGGTCTCCATAAAACACAATATATTCAAATTGACACAATGATTTGTATACCTTGTAAAAACAGAAAGAAAGGTATTAATAGAGAAAGGAAGAGAGAGAGAGAGAGAGAGAGAGGTGGATAGGGGTCTCATTTCAGACATATGACATATCTTTATTTAAAATGTCAGCCATGGTTAAAGGACCATGAACTTTGGCGATGAGCAGGATATCACTCACATAGAAATATCTTACTTTAGGAAAAAGTTTAAGAAAAAAGTAGGAACTGCAATAAAGCTTGATATATAAGCAATTTTCTGCTAGGGTGACCATGCAGGATTTTCATGTTCAGTGACCTTTTTTCTGTCATCTGCTCATCTAAATGACATCATAACTACAGTGTGGTCCATAATAAACAGGAATGATTCATTTGAACATCAACACGCTATGAACAGCAATGATCATACAGAATAATGGACAAAGACAGGGAATACTGTTTTTGGGGTATGTAGACAGGGTACATATTTAAGGTTATGATGATGATGATATCGTTCCTGTTTTCACGAAGTGACGGTAGTGACGAAAATCCGCACGCAAATTGTATGGGATTATCATTCACTACCGTCACTTCGTGAAAATAGGGACGATATATGTACAGAGCATTCTATTGCTGTTGCAATGTATTCTAACATACAGGCTCCTCCAGAATATTGAGTATTTACGAATCTGTTGAAAAAGGCAAGGTATGCAGAAAGGAAGGATACATGCAATAAGTGGTAGAGAAAAAAAAAGAGGGAAAGAGGAGAGAGAGAGAGAGAGAGAGAGAGAAAGTCCAATAACACGGTTATGGCATCTTATTTCTATGTATTTGCGTATTGGGTACAGCCATTATCGATTCATTAACATTACATTCACATATTAATCAAATGCATTAAAATGAAATGCTGTTGTCATACTGGTGATCACAGTTATCATGGCATCTTCCTCATCAATAGCAAACTAACTAAATAAATAGATGAATAAAGAAAGAAAGAAATACACAAGTGAATAAATAAGAAACAAATACATACAAATATTACTAACTAAATGAATAAACAAATAAACAAATTACAAGTTATTACCAATCCCTACAAGAGGGTCATCATAAATTAATGGATTGAAGAAAAAAATACGAAAAATGATCAGAATAGACTATTCCACAGCCAGGCAAACTCAGATACAGAGATACTGAATGATACCCATATATACTAATACTAAGTTCAACAGAGTAGATATAAAAACTTCATTGTCACATAAATATAAGCATAATGTATCAAATTTAGTAATAATACTGAGCTTGCTCGCAGCTAAATAATAAATTATGTGGAAACACTGTACTAATACAGACTCAAGTATAAACATTAATTTTGTTTTTTCATGGCCGATGTTCTTTCACTTTTGCAATACCACAAAATAAAGTGTACCAGACCCTCTAATTGGCTAGAATGCCTTAACCAATGTACTTACACATAACAAGCACAATAATATGAAGTTAATCTTAGATCAATGAGCTGCAACTACGATTTAGTTGGGAGATAAGCTCTGATGCACAAGCCGTGAAATTGTAATTCCAGAAAATGTTCATACAACAGTTACAGAGGAAATAATGTGCAATTGTAAAACCTATACAAAGCAGGAAAATTATGAATTCCACGTAAAGGTGATAAATACTTTTTATATTCGCTTTTAGCTTTTTGCAAATTCAGATTTTAGTCATTAATCTAAAATAGTTCAATAATTTGTAGTTAAATAAGCACTTCATATAAGAATGTAAGATATTTGTGGAATAAACTCTACGTGACCACTTAGTGTCAAATTCAGCTATTTTACAAATCACAGAGCTGTACAAGTGTGGTCATTCCACAATAATTTTTTTATTTTTTATTTCTTAAAATTTCATAGACAATTGCCTCTGCACTATTGAACTACATGTATTACAAAGTCACCAATACTTTTATATCAATACTTTTACATCAATCAATAAGAGAAGTTAACAAAATTATCAGCTTGAATCAGCAATGAAAACATTGGTAATTAATGTGCCAACATTTAACAATACTGTGGTAAAACATTATCAGCTAAATCATACAAAAATTCATTTTCAATTGATTTAGTATACTAACGATGTGCGTGATTTAACTCCCATGTCTTCAGCTTCTTAAATAAATGAACACTTATTCTTTGTTTATACCATAATCATATGCATATCATTTAATGTTTTTCAACTTTGTACTCCAAATGTCTTAACTTAAAACATGTATATAATAATAGGCATTTCTATAGCACCGTCTATCTAGAAATTCTATTCCGAGGCGCATTTATTATTATCCCAGCTTTAGCCTAGCTGCCATCACAGCGCTCCAACATTTCAAGGAATTAATTCCTGCCAGGTACCCATTTACATCACCTGGGTCGAGTGTGGCAAATGTAGATCATGTCTTGCCAAAGGACATTAGTGCCGCGGCGGGACTCGAACTGCAGACCTTGTGATCGACAGTCCGGTGATGTATCCCCACGACACCTCTACCTATATATGTCCATCTATTGATGCATCGTGTTACATATGACTTTCAAAATCAAATCACACATTAAACTACAGTGCTTTCATTATACACATACTCTTTAAACAGTATTATGAATATAATGTCATGTAATCCATCTAATTATAATGTCTTGTGAATTGTACATACAGTGAAAAGGGATCAAATAACAAGAGCTGTATCTTCAATTATACTTTAAGGATGTGATCACCATCAACCAGTAATATATTGAATCTCAGTGTGTCAAATACCAAAGTCAAAAGTCAATGAAACGGTGAAAATGGAGTGCTATATGTCATTTTCTTCAAAGAAACATCTATGTCTTGCAGAACAGCTGTAAAGAGCATGCAATAGTAAACAATATCACAATCTGTCTTTGGTTCTACCAGAGTGGTATCCAGTTCTCAGACTGGTTTCCTACACAGTGTAGAATTGAGTGGCAGCTGAAGATTGGATCTCAATCTGTCCCATTTTGAACTGTAGTCTCTTTAGCCATTTGAGTAGTGTGGTAGAATGGTAAGATGTGACCTCCCCTTTCATCAGACTTGGAGGTGGAAAGTTCTCACAGTTCTGTAGTCTCACCTGTAGGCTTCCTGGGAGCTACCATTACAAAATAGGGGAAATTTCATTGACACATTTGAACATGAGAAAGAAAATATGCCATTAAGAGAAAGTCATTCTTTGAAAATGCTTCATATGATATCTCTAGCTAAATGCAAATGTAAGAACATTTATATAAATTGATGCTAGTATTGCTCAATATAAAAAAAAACTACAAATATGAATATATTAGCATTTAAATACACATATGAAAGCTGATACAGTAATTGGTATATAATTTTTAATGGCAAGTCAAAATTCTAAGAATTATATACCAAACAAATATTTACATAATATGTAAAATATGTTTAAAATTGGTTAGAATGACTGATTTCATAAGCCTTATAATAATAATAATAATAGGTCAATTTATATATATATAGGACAGCTACTGCATGACTATACTCCACTGCACAAGGTATCATATTATTACCCCAGCTGTAGCTGAGCTGCCATAATAAGGCACTTTCTTCCTACCAGGTACCCATTTAATTCACCTGGGTGGAGAGTGGCAAATGTAGATTAATGTCTTGACAAAGGACATTAGTGTTGCAGCGGGACTCGAAACACAAACCATGCAAGACTTCATGTCTTCCCGAGTCTTTCCCAATGGGTATATTACATAAAGACAATAAATAAAATGGAAAAAATGAAATATGCAACATACCTTTGAAGGATAGCTGAACAGGATTGGAGACCACATGGGGAAGAGCTTTGGAAAATAACAAAATCATATATTGCAAAGTTATGTATGTCATAGAGGTGGTTGAACATACCCACATTGTCGCAGAACAATGACGAGGTTTTTTGTAAAAACATTATCAAATGAAAGGAGAATGTAATAGACAATAATTAATGTAGAAATTTATTTACGAGGGATAATATAAAAAGATTTATCATATGGCCATCCATATTCATTTTTATGAGACACAACAAAAATGAAATGGGCCTTGTTACATATAAAATTGTTTCTTTAACTGATTTAATATAATTCAAAATTAACCATTTACCATAAATCTCTGTGTATAAGGCGCGCTTTTTTCCCGCCGAAAAAAAGAAAAGAAAAAATTGAAAGTCTGGGGTGCTTCTTATACAGAGGTACACAAAAAATAATGAAAGTGTTGATTTATGCCTCTCCACCTGCCCTGTGCCTGGCAATGTCTCCCAGCTCAGTCATACAAGGTGTGTTGACTCACCACTCAGAAACTAGAACAACGTACACTACCTGTATGGCCGGATTTCTGTTAAGAAAATTTGTCTGTCATCTTTAAGTTTTTAAAAACGACATTGTTACTATTTACAATTACAAGCAAAAATTGGCGCCTTAAACTGCACCTCACAGTAAAATAAAGGTCCTTCCTCGCATGGGTTTTTGAACACGGACCTGGCTTGCTGCCTACAGAGTCGGCAAAAAAAAAATTTAAAAAAAAATCTTTCTGGCCCCCAAAATAGGGGTTTGTCTTATACACAGGTGCGTCTTATACACAGAGATTAATGGTAGAAATGAATTAGAATTAGTAGAATTAGTAATTATTTTTTTTTTCTAGCATATAATACTGGAAACTTGTGGAAAGTCTCTATGTGCTTCACAAATATAATACTAAAGTAAGTTAATTATTCTAATGTGAATCATATTAACAAAGAAAATGGCATAATAGAATTACGATAAACAGATTGTGGTACGAGTTAAGGTATATGAAATTGATTTCCTTTTGAAACTAAACTATTTGTGTTATGCTTCAAATAATAGTTCAAACATTTATTCATATACATGAAAAGAGTCTAACAATATCAAAGTACATACAACAAATAAAAATAACATTAACATAGTTGATTTTGAAATAAGTAATCTTAAGTTTGGTCTTAGGGGTCTGCCATTTCATAACCTTTGTTCATTGTCTTTGTAATTATTTGAGATATTACTTATGTTGTGTTCAAAAACATTATATGTGTAATGATAATAGAATAATGATAATGACAAGACTTAGTATCTGCAAAAGTCAACAGCTAAAACTTACAGTTCAAAACTTATTTATTGACAGCTAAGTAAATGTACCGCATCTTTTCAATACACATTGTATTTTAATATCTAAAGTACACATATACATCACCATACAGGCTAATGTTCATTATTAATCATATCAAATCATGATTAGATTTTTACAGATGACAGCATGAGGAAAGTCTTCCATACAGCATATATTCACACTAAGACAGAAGTCACTATATAAAAAAGCAGTATAGAGCTGATGACAGCATAAATCACATATCTTCTGCTGCACACATTAATATCCCTGTCTACATGGCTATATTTAGAAATGATGTGTTTGCCAGAAATTTTCATGAGAGCGAGTCAAGAAGAAAAACACATGTCGCTTTCAGGTTGCAGTGGAAACAGCAAGGAATGGTACTTATCATCATACCAATTTCTCCAATTAACATAAAATCTGTCAGGTAAAGCTCATTAAGCAGCTGTTGTATTTTTTTCTCAAGATTTAGAATACTTGTAAAGAGAGCAATACAAATGCTAAAAGTAGTGAGGATTATTGGAAATTTCTACATGAAATTATCATGTCATGTATCTGAAAAAGTGGAACAAGCATTGAAGACTTTAAAGTGGGGTTAGATAAATAAAGCACAGCAAAAAGATGCCTTTTTTCAAATCTTCATATAATTCAATTATTTTTCTATCTATCATTTGTGTGCAGAAAATCATAGTTCTATCAATATGGGAGCAATAATAATAAATGTTCAGCCCCTCTAGACTGCAATCCCTGCTTTCTTGAGCTATTTCCAGGGAGAACATAAAATATCCTGGTTTTCCTACTTGTCATTGAAAAATAATCTTGATTTACATAGCCCTTGATACGAAATACCATCTCTAAGCGCTTTTCAGATATTATTATCCTGATTATTATTATTATTATTATTATTTATTTGACCAATCAGAAAACATACAGTGAGTATAACAATCAGATAATACATTGATTGACATTTCATAATACATTGATAATCAGATTCATTCATGCACATGTACACCATAAGGGCATATAGCAATTACTAACACAAAGGCTTCCGTCATCCTACCAGGTCCCCATTTCTCTCCTGGGTATGGAATGGTAAATGTAGATTAGTGCCCTTACCAAAAAAACATGCAGGAAGTCATGCAGGAAGAAAAACAAAAAATAACAACTCACCTTGGCTAGAACAGAAGAGTTACATTCTTGAAGGGCTTCCATCAGACTCAAGAAATGAAGGTTCACCATGTCTGCCAACTAAGTCAAGAACAAATCACAAAAAATTGTTAGAAAGGAAAAAAGAAGGCAATAATCATATTTGAAATGGGAACCAGAAGGCAAAAAGTTGGTCCAGTGAAAGCTTAACCCCTAGATATATCACAAAGGACCGATATAAATGATCTTATATGCTAAATTTTCAGTTCTAACCTTCCTTTAAAAAACTATCAGTTTGGTAGTCCAATCAATTTACCACATAGATCATGATATTGAGAAAGTATTTCTCAAGATGGGTTCATGACTCACATGCTGGTGACAATTGCTCTGCAGTCATTTTCCAACATTAACTTAATATCCTGGATTCCTGGATCTTCAACACTGAACTAAAAACTTTCCCTAGCGCTAATCCACAACCTAATCTCAATTGGCAAACCTGACCTTAAATAATTGATGGAATGAGGCGCAGTGCAAATGTCACTGTAGCGATTAATTGTAATAAGGTTTCTCTCAAAATATTCATGGAACTCACTCCCTTCCTCTCTTTGTGAGATCGACAATCTAGAACACTTCAATTCATGCCTCAAAACTTACCTATTTCAGCACATGTGAAAATACTGACTTTATTGGAGGAGTCTGCGCCTTTAAAAGTCTTTTAAACAGAAAATGTGGCACTATATAAATGCTATGAGTCATCGTCATCATCACAAAATGGATTGAGAGATATTCTTACCACTTTAGAGTGGGAGAGAAGCTGCAGGACACCGGGGGTAACACGACTCCAGAAGTCCATGATGCTGAAGGTGGCTGATGAGTGAGCATCAGAGTTAGGAGCATTCATACACGCCATCTGCTCACAATACATTGTCCAAAGCTGTCAAAGACACACATATTTGGTTAGAAGAATGTATGAGAGAGAGAGAGAGAGAGAGAGAGAGAGACAAAATAAAAGATAATAGGCAAATGAAAAAAGGAATCACGTTTTATGCTGAAATGGTATCCCTTTGCCGCATTGTATTTCTAAGGGGTTAGTTTTACAGATGGATAAAGTTAGTACATGTAGAAACTGTAAGGGTTGTCATGTAGCAATGAAGATCAGTATACATGTAGGTTATGATTCACAGTGCAGTTGTTCAGTCAATTGGTGCCTATTGTTTGTGCCACTTGGTACTCCTAGCAAGCTTATCAAGACCACTGGTAGCACAATCCAATCTGGGCAGTTTCAACTACCCCTTTCCATCACTCGGTGCCTATTGTTTGTGCCTTGACTAGCAGGCTAACCAAGACCACTGTGTAGCACAATCCAATCTGGGCAGTTTCAACTACCCCTTTCCATCACTCGGTGCCTATTGTTTGTGCCTTGACTAGCAAGCTTACCAAGACCACTGTGTAGCACAATCCAATCTGGGCAGTTTCAACTACCCCTTTCCATCACTTGGTGCCTATTGTTTGTGCCTTGACTAGCAAGCTTACCAAGACCACTGTGTAGCACAATCCAATCTGGGCAGTTTCAACTACCCCTTCCCATCACTTGCTGCCAATTGTTTTGTTGAAAAATGTCGGTGGAAACCAAGCGACCGTGTTGAGATGCAAAAAAAGGAAGGTGTCATGGAAGTTAAATAATTTAAACGCATACAATTTGACCCGAGGTCAAGATTTTTCAAAGGATTAAGGTGCCTTAGTGAGTATCCCCATGAAGCTTATTACCTGACAGAGGATGAATGCATGGAAGAGAGATGACATATGAAGAACGGATGCCTTGGACTGCTCAGCAAAGCCTGCTAAGATGACCTGTATATGATCAGCGATGTGGTTACCAGCATCTAACGGGATGGGCTGACTGATCAGACCACTGTTTGTGAAGGATGGTGGGCAGAGGGCAGCATGGGTCAATGAACCAAGGAGTAACCAGGACAGGAGACGCACATGGGCGATGCAGTCTATGAACTCTTTAGGCCTGCAACAAGAATAAGAATCATCAAGTGGGGACCTTTAGCATACTGAGTGCGGTATACAAATGTGGTATCATATGAAAGCTGAATAAATTTTCTTTTCAATTATGTATCATAATAACTCTCATTTTGTGTATTGAAGAGGATTTTGCACAGGTAGTTGTGTTTCACTTTCTAGGAAACATACTGTAGAACTTGCTACCCTATCATCTCATACCAGGTCAGACAGGTGAGGATGGATGGATGGTAGAGTTCAGCCAGATATATCTGGATACCATCACCTCCTTCCCTGCCATAGCCTTTAGTCAGCTCATTTACCTACAATACCTAAGGATCTGTATTAAAAAAAAACTAGATGGAATTCGACTGCGCGCAGTCGAAAATGATGCCTCCGTCATAGAGCAATTTTACAAACCAAAACAGAAGAAATTTTTCGGATTCAAGTTCAATTGTAATCCATTGACAGGTTCTCAGAATATTGTGATTACAAGCAATTTCTCATATACATATATGACCCTTTGATCTTTGACCTCATGACCCTAAAATCTACTCAGTTCATTGGCTCTGCAAGATGTCCTGAGTTAAATAGTAATCCATCTGTCAGTTCTAATGAGAATGCGTTCACAAGCTATTTTTGCATACATAATGAGCCCATGATCTTTGACCTTTGACCTTATGAACCAAGAATCTACTCAGTTCATTGGCTCTGCAAGTAACATACATGACCTAATTTTGGCAGGAATCCATCAATCGGTTCTTGAGATAACGCGATCACAAGCAGTTATTGCATACATAATGTGTGCTGTGGCCTTTGACCTTTGACCTCATGACCACTAAATCTAATCAGTTCATCGGCTCTGCAAGTAACATACATGACCTAAGTTTGGCAGCAATCCATCAATCGGTTCTTGAGATAACGCGATCACAAGCTGTTTATGCATACATAATGAGCCCTGTGACCTTTGACCTTTAACCTCATGACCCCAAAATCTAATCAGTTCATTGGCTCTGCAAGATACATACATGACCAATGTTTGGCAGGAATCCATCAATCGGTTCTTCAGATAACGCAATCACAAGCTGTTTTTGCATACCTAATGAGCCCTGTGACCTTTGACCTTTGACCTCGTGACCCCAAAATCTAATCAGTTCATCGGCTCTGCAAGATACATACATGACCAAAGTTTGGCAGGAATCCATCGATCGGTTCTTCAGATAACGCGATCACAAGAACGGGACATACGTACGTACAGACGTACGTACGTACGTACGGACGGACAACCCGAAAACATAATGCCTCCGGCTGCTTCGTAACGGAGGCATAAAAATTCTGATGTTAGTTTAAGCTCTTCTAAATTGAATGTGTAGGTGGTTATTTTACCTGACTGCTAAAAAACATAAATGCTTGTAAGTAAGCAACCAGACGGCGGAAAGCTTTAGGTCCTCTCCGAGGGACCTGGTAATGAGGATTAATGCCTTACCAAAGGGCACTAGCGCATCGACTTGGTTTCGAACCTGGGTCACCGGATCACAAGACCACTGCTCTACCAACTGAGCTATCGCACCTCCTCAACTCAGTTTCAACAAAAGGAAGTTGGACTGAAGTCTTTATTTTTCCCTTTCATCCCTTACTAGGCATCCTTGCATCAAGTTGAACTGAATAAGAATACTACCTAATGTTCTTACCCTTGTTGAACAGATGAAGGTGGGTGGTAGAGCCATGGTAGATGTCTCTGTATAGCCTTTGGTCCTTCTCTACCATTAGCCTTAGTGAACTCTAGAGCAACAATTTGAGCTACTCCTGCTTTCAGCTGGCTACCCAACGTATCCTCATTCAAATTCTGAGAGCCCCCTCGTAGATTGTTCTACAAAAGATAAATAAACATACAGATTTTACACAAGTACAAATAACTATTGAAAATGTTAAGAGAACTACAGTTGTCATAAAATTATTTGCTATAGATTTATAGAATTATAGCAACAATCAGAGAGGGGTTTCAAATTGTACCCCAAAATAAGTTACATTGTAATTTCTGTTATAATTATTGCTATCAGATTTATCAATATATCATTTGCCATAAATAATGCAATACACAAGCATGAGAATTATCAACACAAAAGATTTTATTAGAATCATCATTTGTCATTTTCTTAACATTTAATCTAATATGAAGTAAGGTATTTATATAAAATACATACTTGTACAATCATTCATACTGTTTTCATTTATCTATCAAATGATTTTGTTTCCATATTTGTAATTGTCATTATGTCTATGTATTGCAAAACAAAGTATTCATGTACCATGTGAATGCAGTATTCTAATAAATACAAAAACAAATACAAAATATGATATTGCTACATTGTTAGGAGTACATGGTAAAATGTACACTGCATGTATGACAAAAATCACTTGGGGCAGTCCAGTGTTTGTTTCATTAGTCAACCAAAGTCAGGAAAGAGTTAATCTTTTTTTCTGTATTACTATTACATTACTATTGATATTAAAACATCAAAACACACCTAAATTTAGAGATAGTTAAAAAAAAACAATGATGTTCTTTCTTACCTTGACTTTAGTGAGTGTATGAAGGTCTCCAATGTATTCAGTAGCATCACTGACATACTGTCTCATGCAGTCTGTGGCTCCTGTAGAGTTCTGAAGTAGATTAATCAAACAACAGAAGGTAAGCCTTTAACATTCTTTGTACCTATGTGAAGTCAATAACATCTAGTTTAATAACATGCTTTATCACACTATATCATCAAACAGGTAGAATAATCTCTCAAAGGGTCTTATACACACTTATTTCATTCCATCTCCCAGTTGAGCTATCTGCTGGTTATGAATGTGCTTTACTCTATCAGTACGAACCGTTCACTCTAAACTTTATGATCCAACCAACCTACCCATCATTATATTATTTGCTTTTTAACTACCATTATACAAATCAAATTTGGAATAGGACAGAGCTACAGAAAATCTGTCGAACTTAAAACAACAACAAACTCAACAAATGCCTGCAATATTGTAGTAATTAAGTAACTATCCAATCACCAACCGATTCACAGATTGACGGAGATGAGAACAATGGTTGTGTGACTTTCAAATGCCATAGAGAGAAAAAAGAAGAACCTAAGGTCAATTACAATAGGTCTGGGACCCCCATTATAAAAAGATGGAAGTTTAGTATACTTGCCCAGCTCAGACCAGTATGCTCTATCCAATTTCAGAAACGTATCACAGGGTGTGCCCCAGGGGAGTATACTATCACCTCTATCGTTCTCCAAAATTATTAAACAGTTGACTACAGCATTTCCGTGTTTCCGCTTGACTTACCATTGCCATGTCAACCTCAATATCAGCCTCCATATGACCAAAGTCACTCATCTTGCCTCCCGCGTCCATCACAACAAACTGGACTAGTTGGATCAGGTTGATGTCTGGAAGGTTGGTCTTAAACTTCAGAGCCTGGACCAGTTCTAGAGTGACCACTCTGGCAAATGACTGCTTCTCTCTCTCCTTTAAAGCAGAGAAAAAGAAAAAGAGGAGAAAACAAATTAGCTTATGAGACATCCTGAACGACGGTGTACTGTTTGCAAGGTAACCGTTACCACCATCATCACAATTAACACAATTATATATTGACTGTAAGGGGTAAACAAGGTTTGTCAAGGATTATCTTGGTAAAAATGATTTAATCACGATTTAATAAATATAAACTATGTGGGAGTAAATGCAAATAGGGGCACACATGTACATGTAAATAATACAAATTAAAAAAAAAGAAATATTCTGTTATTAATTGTCACAAGACTGGAATCCCACTTGTTGAAAGGTTCAAACATTAGAAAAGCAAGCAAGAACAAAACAATTGGACATGAGACAGAGAGAGAGAGATTAAGAAGAGGAAATGAGAGGTGAGAAAAGAGAAAGAAAGAAAGACCAAAAGAGAAGACACGCAAGGAAAATGAGAAAACAAAAGAGCATGAAAATGAGCGGGGGAGGGAGGGATAGAGTGAGAAGGGGAGCAAGACATCCATTACCTTTGCAAAGATCCTATTACAGAGGGTACAGATCTCTAGTAGATGAGTGAGCTTAAAGCGAGCTCTGACTATGGCAAAGCTCATGAGTTTGCCCATTGGGTCTAGCAAGGTTTGTAGACTCTTGGTGGCTGGGCTACGTAGAAGCACCTCAAAGATCCGGAACAGATCGTTCACATCACACTGTCAATAGAGTATACAGAAAAAGATAAATGTCCAGTAAGTCATATCATACAGTGCATACAGTCTCCAGTGTTGCTATTCCTTAAAGTCCTCTAGAAATCGTTCTTTGTGACTTTACTTTGCACCATTTAGATCAAGTCAAGTCGTTATAAATCATGGAAGGGAGAAGTTGCTACGATCCACAACCCTTTCCAGGACAGTGTAAGAAGATGAGATAAACATACAATAGTACAATGTAGATAATCATGTTACTTTAATATGTTATAACAAAATTTGACATAGTAATAATGACAAAAATGAATTCACAACTTGTATAATAAACTGGAGGTCTCTCTCTGCACTTAAAAAGGTAAATATTACTTAACCAAAATTGTTTTTAATTTCGGTATACTTAAGGACCATTCTTACATAAAACCCTTCTCAGTGTCAGTGCCATATCAGTGCCATTGCCAGACTATTTTAAGCGGGGGGAGGTGGACCTATTTACAGACTTAAAGAAATAACAATTGTAGCATTTTGAGATATGCCTATAGATGTCCATATTTTTCCTAATTGGCAAGAAAAATAAACAACTAAACTCAGTTTTTCAGATTTGCTGACAGCCTACAAAATTTGTGTTTTAATGGGGGTGTCACCCCCCCCCCCCCACCCCCTGACACCCCCTCTAGCAATGCCACTGCTCAGCATGATCCAATCTGGATCATATTTCAACTGGGTTGCTATTGAAACCTTGATCATGGTGGCTTCATTCAAAGTGATTATTTTGGGTGTGTGTATCTCTCAACTCACATTTTCTGGCATGGAAGTGACAAGTTTTCTGAAGAAGGTATCAAAGAGGGGTACCAGGTTCCCCCATGCCGTGGAGCCTTCGATGGGCAGGGAATCCATGTAGTTTGCCATATTCATCAACACCAGCATGGTACGCAGAGGAGGCAGGTTGCGTTTATCATTCAGACCCTGATCATGTGCAGTACACAGACAAATATAGGACCATGGTGATATAATGCAGTTCAAGTCAATTCAAATAATTTGATTTCCACAACTCAATCAAAACATGAAAAAAAAAGCTGACATAATATTCAGTAATATCAAATGACATTTGCAATATATAACAGAAAAGAAAACTTTTATTACAAAATGAGACTACTTATACAATATTGAAAGTCGATAGGTAATCAAAGCATTTTTTTTTAATATAAGCTTTAAAATATCATAAATTAAGTTAAATTTTAAAGGAAAAGAGAAATCCACTAAAAAGCAGAGCTTGTATTTGTGTAAATTACTCAATAGAGGTACTTTGGACAAAATAAAAAGATTGACCACTTCAATACAGACAAATAAATCGGAGGGGTTGTTAAGAGAATACTCATGACGGTGGTTTAGCCCAATATCAAGTAGTGTATGAATTTATTAGTAAACTGTCACAACACAAATTAAATAAGCGAGGACCTCATAGAGAGAGAGATAGACAGGGAGATAGACAGAAAGAGAGAGAGAGAAAGAGAGAAGGAGAGAGAGAGAGAGAGACAGACAGACAGAAAACAAGGGAAAGAGAGAGCAAGAGATAGAAAGGGGGAGAGAGACAGGCAGAAAACAAGGGAAAGAGAGAGCAAGAGAGAGAAAGGGAGAGAGCGAGATATATAGACAAAAAAGATAGAGAGAGAAAGAGAGAGAGAAAGAAAGGGAGAGAGAGAGAAAGGGAGAGGGAGAGAGAGAGAGAAAGGAAGAGAGAGAGAGAGAGAGAGAGAGAGAATATAAACCTGTGAGAAAAGGCAATAGATTGTGAAAAGAGATAAAGTAAGATACAAACCTCCAGAAGATGTATGATAGCATCAGTAGGGTTGAGTTCAGTAAAATCTTGTAGAGCTGAAGCCATGGTAGGTAAGAATGTGTGATCTAAAATAAGGAATGAGAAAATCAAACAAAACTTGAATAGGTACCATACTGAACGGGTGAAAGCACTCAAACAAGATCATCTATAGCAGGTGATGATTTCCGTCTGTACCATATTCATGAATGAAAGCTATCAAATAGACAAAATTGTCATCTGGATAACACTGTGCAGCTATAGTGACAAAGCAAGGTTGGAGAGCCAGGCAAGGGCAATATCTGACACAAGATGGAGTTATTAAGTGAAAATCAGCTTTGTATTTATGCCTTCAGATATGTAAAACAATACCGATGATGGAATGAAATTTGGAAATAGATAAATGAATGCAAAAAAAGTCTTCATCACACCTGATCCAATAAAAGCATGTGGATAGAATTTTATAGAAATTTTCCCAGATGAGGTAAAGCCCATAGCATCGATCTTGTTGTAATGAAGCAAATTGATGAAAACATCTGTAAAGTAGTAAATTGTTTCCTACCAATACCCCGAATAAGCCATGTGAGTGCATAATGGTTAGCAGCCATGTGTTACAATGGACAAAAATGTAGTTATGATTAAAAATTGTTAAGAAGCAGAGGGTTGGGAGATCAAATTGATGTAGATTGTCACAAAATAATAAAATTAAGGAAGACGCTTCTCCATGCAAGGATGCCCCCCCCCCCACAAAAAACACACCCTCAAGCATATTTTTTTTTTGAGCCAGAAGGGGAATAACTGTGTGTGAGGCTATATGAGTTAACACCCTTCTGGTTCTCAGCAGATGATGATGTATGTATAATGACTGAATAACTGTGTGTGAGGCTATATAAATTAACACCCTTCTGGTTCTCAGCAGATGATGATGTATGTATAATGACTGAATAACTGTGTGTGAGGCTATATGAGTTAACACCCTTCTGGTTCTCAGCAGATGATGATGTATGTATAATGACTGAATAACTGTGTGTGAGGCTATATGAGTTAACACCCTTCTGGTTCTCAGCAGATGATGATGTATGTATAATGACTGAATAACTGTGTGTGAGGCTATATGAGTTAACACCCTTCTGGTTCTCAGCAGATGATGATGTATGTATAATGACTGAATAACTGTGTGTGAGGCTATATGAGTTAACACCCTTCTGGTTCTCAGCAGATGATGGTGTATGTATAATGACTGAATAACTGTGTGTGAGGCTATATGAGTTAACACCCTTCTGGCTCTCAGCAGATGATGATGTATGACTGACCTTCAATCTTGCTGAGGAAGAGTTGAGGGAAAACCCCGTTTGGAGCAAGCTGATGGAGGGTACAACGAAGGAACTGTTTAGCCACAGTACAACAATGACCAGGTGGGCAGCCAATACTAAGGGGTAGAGGAAGAAATGACATTTGGATAAGCCAAAGATTTAGCATATAGAAAATTCTTTGAATAATGGGGACAAAGCACTTCCCTGAGTTGTTTTTCGATAACTAAAACAAGCAACTTATTTGTGCATGTTGTTATATTGATGACCATACACCAGTTTGTTAAATTCATGAAAATAAAATATGTATGAAAAGGAACAACATAGTCTTTTTTAGAGATAAAATCATGCTCAGAATACCGCCCAAGATATTATAGCTTATAATCTTATTATCTCAATAAATTAGAGATTAGAGATTAGAGTGCTACATCATAAGTAAATTGATTCATGAACTTATGGCAAGTAATTCTAAATGTTTTAGGCTTCATGAAGTTATTAGAATTGAATTAAAATATGTTTGTCTTTATGCAAGTGCAAAGGTCTATTCTTGATTCTATCTGAGTTCCAAACTAACTCACTTCTAACTGTTAACACACTCTAGTTAACACTAAACATTTCACTTAAAACTTGATCTAGATCATCATACAAGTATAATGTGTATTTAATTTACTTGAATGAGGTCTCAGCAACACTGCACTATTTGGGAACCACGTCTACCTCACAGATTCAAGCTGAATTCTAAAGGTACGGTAGTGCATTGGCAATATATTGTATACAGAGGATGAATAGTTGGAAGTAGAGGAGTTGATTGATTCTTACCTTTCACTCTGCCAAGGGTAGAATGTAGCAGAGGCAACCCTGTGTGATAGCATAAACAAAATGGTGAGTCTACCATGTATACACCAAACATTCTTTGGATGCACAACCTAGTCAATTGGTCTCTATCTGTCTGTCTTGAATACATCATTGAATTCATTCTCAATAGAATGTAATGATTATAGTCTAATCAAATTCCACTCTGATATTACTACATCATCATTGAACTTTCTTCAGAAGACTCTACATCATAATTTATATCTGATAAGCCTTTGTGCCACAGCTGGTGTTAAACAGAGTGAAGTGTTAGACTTGAAACCATTGCCTATGGGAATCAGGTGGTCACTGTAGTAAGCCTATGGGAGTGAGAGATTGCAGTAGTCAGTAGGTTAATAACCATACTGAGAAAAGAAAGAAAGAAGTTAATGAGAAAGCAGTAAAAATAATAGAGAGTGCGAAGGGGGCATGCAGGGAGAGGGATGAAGAGCAAGCAGTGGAGAAGAGGAGAGAGGGAGAGAGAGAGGGATGGAGAGAGAGGGGAGAGGGAAGGAGAGAGAGAGGGAAGAGGGAAGGAGAGAGAGAGGGGAGGGGGAGAGGGGGAGAGAGAGGGATGGAGAGAGAGAGAGGGGAGAGGGAAGGAGAGAGAGAGGGGAGAGAGAGAGAAGGGAGAGGGAAGGAGAGAGAGAGGGGAGGGGGAGAGGAGGAGAGAGAGGGATTGAGAGAGAGAGAGAGAGAGAGGGGAGGGGGAGAGGGGGAGAGAGAGAGGGGAGAGAGATGGGGAGAGGGAAGGAGAGAGAGAGAGAGAGAGAGAGAGAGAGAGAGGGGAAGAGGGAGATGGAGAAGTGGAGAGGATGAGGGACTAGAGAGACTCACCTGCCAACGACCTGCAGCATCTCCAGTAGGAGAGGTGCAGCTAACTCTGGATCCCGATGGACAAAGGTTGATAGGACTACTATGGCCAAGGAAATTGTATCATCATCATATTCCTCAAGGAGAGCACCACAATCAGTGCACCTGTATGGAGATGAACAGTATTTTCAGTGATACTCAAAGGAAATTTTTGTGAATCAGTTTTTTAGTCATAATGAATTGCATGCAAGTATATATATAAGGTGTCCCTTGTATGCTAAACATAAGTTTACCCAGTGTATTCAGAATACATAATGAGCTTTAATTCACATAAATAAGAGGTTATGTGTGACACACACAAAAACAAAAGAAAAACTAGCAAAAATCCTATTTAAAAAAAATTACTTTGACTTTTTACCTTTTTTCAGCTACACTTATCTCAAGTTTAAAGCTCAGGCAGCTATGTTTTTGTCATCATCTGGTTTAAAGATGTCTAATAACTGTATTATGGTTTATTACTCCCTCCACAAATAAATAGTGGATGAAAAAGTAATGATTAAAAGTAATAGCTTACTTGGTTAGAGCCATAAAGTTTTTATCTTCATGATAGCGTCTGATAGCTGAGTACACACTGCTTCTCTTCTCAGGAGACTTCTGGGCTTGTTCCTTCAGCTTTTGAGACCTCTTCTTATTCTTATCCCCTCCTCTTCCTCTACCATCTGGTGAATCCCCCGGTAGGTCAAACTGCACTCCATCCCCTCCCCCTACCGATGGGGAGTTCTCCCCACTGCCTTGATTTGCAGAGGACATGATGGTGGCCACGCCCATCTTGCGGCGTTTTTTGGTGCGGAACTTTGGTTGGATGGTTTTGGGTTTGGCCTCAGCGACGGTAGCAGACTGGAGAGTGGCAGCTTGCATGACTTGAGGCTCGACTGTGAGGCTCTGAACCGTGGCTGACTCTAATTCTGTCACAAGCTGCCATTTAAGATTTCAGTAAAAAAAAACATCTTGAAATACACCGGATCTTATTTGTACTTCATTCTAGGTTTCAACCTTGACTCCTGTCCTTTGTATTAAAAAGAATATTACTAAGAAATAAAATGCAGTTCCCGCAAATTGTTTACTGTGGCAATGATTTATGATGAATATCTATCTCTCACTACACAGTTGACTAATAATAACTTTTTATTACACAGCGGCTTACCAGTTAAAATTTTAATGGTCAAAGTGCTTTCAGTATAAATGATGAGTACATATGCAAAATTATTTTGATGTGCAGAACCAGTTAACAATATGAATTGACAGAAAATTGAGAGAAATCACACAAAGGAATAAAAAGTGAGCCTTAGAGGAGTAGAAGATCCAGAGTCTGTACCTGAGCTGCGGTGTGTGTAAACGTCTCAGGCTGTTCCGCTACAAAGGTAGGAGTAGCTTTCATAGATTCCTCAGCCATGAATGTAGCAGTGGCTTTCATGGGTTCTGCCACTGAGTCCAATGTCTGTAGAGGTTCTATCATATCAAAGCCTTCTAGTAACTCAAGCTCGGGTTCAGGCTCTTCTTCCTCTTCAACCTAGGTCAGATTTAACATTGAGGTTTCAATCAAGACAGGTTCCATGGGAGAATACGATAAATACCCTTTGATAATGATCGGGAGTTCATTTCTTACTTGTCCTTTGCATCTAATAAAATTGTTAACTTAAAGCCAGTGGCAATTAGAACTGAGGCTCTGGAACAAAAGAACACTTTTGGGACTTGTTTTTATAAAGAGTTGTGGTAGAATTTTGTATTGCCAAATGTGTAGTGGGGATGTGTCTATGAATGCATCAACAAAGTAATTGAATGAGGTACTTGATTGCTTGGTGATTTACAGCACTAACCAGTTAAGTGTGAAATTAAATGGTTTTAAACACATATGGATAATCAACAAATCTTCACAAACTATCTGTTTGGTTGAGGCCAGAAGGTCACTATCTCTGTGTAAACGATACAAGTTAATACCCTTCTGGCTCCAAGCAATTTTTTCGTTATAAAGTCACCAAGCATATATGATTAAAAACATTAGTATTAAAAAACGTTTGAAATATATCAGTTACACCACCAAACTGACCCCATTACGACTCTAAACCGACCGACCCTTTGTATTAGGGGCATTGCCAATATTTGTTTGGTCTGTTATTGGTCTGTTATTGGTCTGCTGTTAGTGTCTTTGGTGTAACTAGGGTAAAAAACATGTTTAATGATAATGAAAGACACTGTACATTAAACCTGATAACTGATACAAAACAATTAAAAAACATCAGCAAACTAGATGGAACTTCGACTGCGCGCAGTCGAAATGATGCCTCCGTCATAGAGCAATTTTACAAACCAAAACAGAAGAAATTGTTCAAATTCAAGTTCAATTGTAATCCATTAACAGGTTCTCAGAATATCGTGATTACAAGCAATTTCTCATATACATATATGACCCTTTGATCTTTGACCACATGACCCTAACATCTACTCAGTTCATTGGCTCTGCAAGATGTTCCGAGTTAAATAGTAATCCATCTGTCAGTTCTAATGAGAATGCGTTCACAAGCTATTTTTGCATACATAATGAGCCCATGACCTTTGACCTTTGACCTCATGACCCAAGAATCTACTCAGTTCATTGGCTCTGCAAGATACATACATGATCTAAGTTTGGGAGGAATCCAACAATCTATTCTAATGATAATGCGATCACAAGCTATTTTTGCATGCATAATGAGCCGCATGACCTTTGACCTAGACCTCATGACCCCAAAATTTAATCAGTTCATCGGCTCTGCAAATAACATACATGACCTAAGTTTAGCAGGAATCCATCAATCGGTTCTTGAGATAACGCGATCACGAGCTGTTTCAGCATACATAATGAGCCCTGTGACCTTTGACCTTTGACCTCGTGACCCCAAAATCTAATCAGTTCATCGTCTCTGCAAGGTACATACATGACCTAAGTTTGGCAGGAATCCATCGATCGGTTCTTCAGATAACGCGATCACGAGCTGTTTTTGCATACATAATGAGCCCTGTGACCTTTGACCTTTAACCTCGTGACCCCAAAATCTAATCAGTTCATCGGCTCTGCAAGATACATACATGACCAAAGTTTGGCAGGAATCCATCAATCGGTTCTTCAGATAACGCGATCACGAGAACGGGACGTACGGACGGACGGACGTACGTACGGACGGACGGACAACCCGAAAACATAATGCCTCCGGCTACTTCGTAACGGAGGCATAAAAAACAAACAACTGAATAAAAGAATTGGATGGACGTGCGAGTGTGTTTTGTTCCTACCTCTAGGATAGTGGATGCCACAAAGTTCCTGCTGGAAGAGTTGATGGGTAGATTGATAACCTCATCCTCTGAGACAAAGAGCATCTCAGGCTCCAGCTCCAGCTCCTGGTGCTGGGGTACACGAGGATCCTCCTTGGTCACAGCGACTCCACCTCCGCCACCCATACCCCGCCCACCTCCCCCTCCACTGCTGATGGTGGTGATGACTTGACCAGGGGTAATGAACTCTACCCTAGGGGTGGGAGAGGAGGGTGTATCACCAGGGGGGCTGCCTGGATCAGTGGTCTTGGTGGTGGTGGTGGTGGTAGCGGTGAGGAGGGGGGTGTTGGGACCAACGGATGAGATGGAACCCAGTTCTTCGCTGATGTCATCCTCTCGAGGAAGACTTGACTCTGCAAATGATACAAGTAAAGAATATTACAGGATACAAAGAAGTACATGTACTAAAAAACATACAATATAATACTCCCTGGTGGAAAAATGAAACGAATATCAGATTTTTTTAAAAGGGGCTAATTCCATACTTCATCCAATTATTATTTTTTCCTTCAAATCGCTACACAAATTGGTCAAATGTTAATCAAACTAGAAATATCGCAATCTGTATTGCCGCGCAATGCGAATGTATCCCCCGGCAGTGGCAGCGATTTTGTGTTATCCTTATGTGGAAGGAGGGACAAAGATTCCCTCTCCTCTTTGTGAAACAAAAGGATGACGTAGAGATTGCCGCAAGTGGCTCAGACTATTGTCAAGACTAGGAGCAGCATCACCAAAACAATAGGTGTGTAGATCAGATTATGATGCATATTTATAGAAAATTTGAAAGAAATGTGATTTGCATAGCGACACAAGATATTCCTTTAAATATGACCTTTGACCCTATAAGAGATGGAATACTGGGGGGTAGCAGCACCAAATTTGTGGAGGTCTAGAGTAAACTATAATGAACCTTAATACAAATTTGAAAGAAATCTGTTAAGAAATGTGAGTGCACACAAAACATCTATCAAAATATGGCCTTTGACCCTATAAAAGACGGAACACTGGGGGCAGCATCATCAAAATCTATAGGCTTGTAGATTCTACCAAGATACACCTGCGGTCAAAATTTGAACAAAATCCCTTTAGAAATGTGGCATATAGAGCGCACACAAACCATCCACAAAAATATAGCCTTGTACCCTATAGAAGAAGGAACACTGGGGGCAGCATCACCAAAAGTTATAGGTATGTAGATTATACCAGGATACACCTCCATACAAAATTTGAAAGAAATCCGTCAAGAACTGTGGCAGTTAGAGCGCACACTAGAGTGCACACAAGACATCTATCAAAATATGGCCTTTGACCCTATAAAAGACGGAACACTGGGGGCAGCATCATCAAAATCTATAGGCTTGTAGATTCTACCAAGATACACCTGCGGTCAAAATTTGAACAAAATCCCTTTAGAAATGTGGCATATAGAGCGCACACAAACCATCCACAAAAATATAGCCTTGTACCCTATAGAAGAAGGAACACTGGGGGCAGCATCACCAAAAGTTATAGGTATGTAGATTATACCAGGATACACCTCCATACAAAATTTGAAAGAAATCCGTCAAGAACTGTGGCAGTTAGAGCGCACACTAGAGTGCACACAAGACATCTATCAAAATATGACCTTTGACCCTATAAAAGACGGAACATTGGAGGCAGCATCACTAAAATCTATAGGCTTGTAGATTCTACCAAGATACACCTGCGGTCAAAATTTGAACAAAATCCCTTTAGAAATGTGGCATATAGAGCGCACACAAACCATCCACAAAAATATAGCCTTGTACCCTATAGAAGAAGGAACACTGGGGGCAGCATCACCAAAAGTTATAGGTATGTAGATTATACCAGGATACACCTCCATACAAAATTTGAAAGAAATCCGTCAAGAACTGTGGCAGTTAGAGCGCACACTAGAGTGCACACAAGACATCTATCAAAATATGGCCTTTGACCCTATAAAAGACGGAACACTGGGGGCAGCATCATCAAAATCTATAGGCTTGTAGATTCTACCAAGATACACCTGCGTTCAAAATTTGAACAAAATCCCTTTAGAAATGTGGCATATAGAGCGCACACAAACCATCCACAAAAATATAGCCTTGTACCCTATAGAAGAAGGAACACTGGGGGCAGCATCACCAAAAGTTATAGGTATGTAGATTATACCAGGATACACCTCCATACAAAATTTGAAAGAAATCCGTCAAGAACTGTGGCAGTTAGAGCGCACACTAGAGTGCACACAAGACATCTATCAAAATATGACCTTTGACCCTATAAAAGACGGAACATTGGAGGCAGCATCACTAAAATCTATAGGCTTGTAGATTATACCAAGATACACCTTCGTTCAAAATTTGAACAAAATCCCTTTAAAAATGTGGCCTTTAGAGCGCACAAAAACCATCCACAAAAATATGGCCTTGTACCCTATAGAAGACGGAACACTGGGGGCAGCATCACCAAAAGTTATAGGTATGTAGATTATACCAGGATACACCTCCATACAAAATTTGAAAGAAATCCATCAAGAAATGTGGCAGTGAGAGCGCACACAAGAATATGACGCGGCGGCGGACGCGGCGGCGGCGGCGGCGGCGGCGGCGCGGCGGCGGCGTAACGCTGCTGAATCCAAAGTACCCCACCAGCATACTGCCGGGGGATACAATAAATACAACATCACATGTATATTATATGAATATTTTACAACCCAATGCATGTTTGCCCTCGGATAGGATGTTGATATGCAGCTTGAGTGTGTAGGATAGTTACCATCTATCCATGCAAACCCATTGGATCGTTTATTTTGGTGCAATATGCTTTGGCTATGTATGGACTCCAGCCCACGTTATCTCAGGCATCATATTCAATGGGACAAGAAAAGGGAGTATCCTCGATGCAGTGATACCCTTGCACATCCCAACAGTTTTTACTGGAAAAGAAACCTAGGGGTTTTAGCACTATCATGTAGAGTTCACTTTGCCCTTCCTACATTTTTAGACACTGGTATTACTAATTATCAAAATTCAAATAGGTAAACAAAGAAGTTTGCCAATATAGAGTTAAGGATGATTTTTGATTTACCTGATTTGTTTTTGTTGGGGAGGGTAGCACCCCAGATGTCCTCTGGTTGTGGTGGTTCGGGTCTCTTGGGCTTACAGATATGACGCTGTGCCTCCAAGACATTCATAGTGATCCGAACCAAAGCCTTCAGTGTTGTCTTCAACTCGGCTTGGTCAATGGAATACTGGGAGAATCATGACAGGGAAAAAGTTGGAGAAGGTGTAACATTCAGATAAAGAGGTTTGGAGAAGGAGAGAGAAGGGGAGTGAGAGAGAGAGAGAGAGAGAGAGAGAGAGAGAGAGAGAGAGAGAAAGAGAGAAAAGGTGAGAGAGAGAGAGACAGAGAGAGAAAGAGAGAGACAGAGAAAAAAGGTGAGAGTGAAAGAGTGAGAGAGAGAAGGTGCTCAATTCAATTCATTATATTTATTCATAGAGAACAATTAGCCTCAATTCTTTTTGCAATACATTTACTTACATTTGCCCCACTTGATCGAGGTGTAGTATCTAGGTACTGGTAGAAAGTCATTCCTTGAATGATATAGTGCCTTATCACGGCTGCTACACTGAGACTACACAATAATCCAAAGCTCATTAAAGTACAGAGAGATATTATATTTGACATGTGCTTTACAAGAACTGGATTATTATTATGATAAATGACAAGTTAGTGATTGATCAACTGCCACAGCCCATTCTGTTGATATTGACCATGGCAATCTTGATCCTAGCTCTTACCTTGTAGAGCACGATGAGTAGAGACATGAACCAGGAGTGCCTGCAGTGAGGTTCAAGGAACCATAGGGAGTAGTCTGGAGGATGTGAGTCTTGAGAGCACTTCTGAGGTGAAGGGCAGTACTGCAGGAGACTCAACACCATAGGTAACACCATGTTACCAACCTTGACATTGTGATCTAGCATCTGATGGGTTCGAGAACACAAATATATAAACTTGGAGACTAAAATAAACACAAAACTCTTGTAAAGTATTTGTAATGCTTTAACTATTTGAAAAAAAACTTGAAAGCATCAAGGAAAGTGATGACATTGAAGGCCAATTCAGATATACAGTAGTTGGTAAACTGCTTAACCCTCTTCCCCATCCAGAAAATAACATTTCTCTGAGCTAATCCCTTTCAAGATAATCTTTCCATTTTGCCCTAAACAAGTGCATAACTATACTGAAATCAAACTAGCTTTAACAAAGAAGTTTGAAGTTCATATATCTTAAATATTCCTTGCCTTGGGTTGCAAATGTAGCTCAAGAATGTGAGCATAAAACAATATGTTTGGACAATAAAATGGCTACATTAATTTCTGTCAATGAAACAGAAGCAGGTACAATCGTTCTTTCACATGGGAGATATTTCATTCTCATTTTCACACTTGAGTTGCTTTCTTCGCCTCCCTGCTGGTTTGCTTGTTTGCCACATGTGAATTTTGAACAAACCAATATGCACTAATTGACAGAAGGATTGCTTTGTGCAACGCGATGGCTTTGCAAAATTACCAATTTCCAGTCTTGATTATTGCTCCATGACAATCCTTTTAACATCAGTAAAGATTAATCTTCCACTGGAAATAGATTAATGATCTTAAAGCTTTTGGTATATCTATCCCTAGATAAGTATTTGGGTCACAGGAAGATTATTTGTGTGGCATTTAAATATAAACACAAAGCAAATTATATAAAAATTAACTAAATTGCAATTTCACTTGTGACAACTGTTCAAAAAGTTGGTGGCACAGAAGGGGGTTCAGAGACATACGATACCAACCTTGGGTAATCCTGCCATGAATGCATAGAAGACTGCCGACTCTCGCAGTTGATGTGGGGGAAGGTTGAAGGTCTTGCTGACTTGGTTGTAACCTAGCAACACAGTCAGGTGACGCAAAACAGTGCTCTGCAATCAAAATTAAAATTCCAAACGGCATTGAATTTACTCATACTTTCATGCTACTGATATCACTCCAACTATCAACTTGTCACACCACTACCATTACAACAACTACCACCCAACTACAACCATTGATCTTAAGGACAGTAACATCATTTCTCCTGCTTATCTTTACTTCAGAAAAGTAGTCCATATTACTTGTCATATTTATTCAGATTAAAAATAGTAGATGTAAATGATACATTTTTTGGGTTGCTATGAAAGTTGCATACAGTAGCTAAGAGAAATGTAGTGGCACCAAAAGTTGGTCCGAAATACAAAAGGCATAATATTTAGTGATGTATGTTAAAAGTTCCTATTTTACCTATCCTAGTTAACATTAAGCTCCATATCCTAACCATGTGGTACTAGACACGTCTTTTTGCGCACCACTACATTTGCTAAACTACCTAAAAAACAATTCAGAGATGATGTACATTCAAACTGAAGACATTATTTGTAATAATTTGAAGATTGGTTTGTTGCATGTCAACTTACCATAGCTCTTCCCGAGACTTGGTCATCATCCATACTGCTTGGTCCTGTCATGAACTGTAGATAAAATAGACAATTTTCAAAATATTTTCAAATTTCGACATGTTTACCCAGCGACGAGTTATTACAGTCACCTGTTATATATCATTGGAAATATTCATGATGTTTAATACAACACTAATTTTAACATTTTTTTGTTACCGTGGGCAATTTTTAAATTTTTTTGAGGGCGAAAAAGAGGGGTGCGGTCAATACACGAGGGCGGTTTATACAACGTTAATTACGGTAACCACAATTTCTTTGCTAGAGCATCACTTGTTAATTTTCTCTGCATAATGTTAAAGATTATGACTCAATCAAATGTTTGATTGGTATGAAAGCATTAGTGAAACTGAGTGGTACATGTACATAAAAAACCATGTCTAGGGCATAATATAATATAAAGTACTAATCATTACAATACCTGGTTTACCCAGTTAAGGTCTGCAGTCACAGTCAGTCACCCAGGGCCCTGTTTCATCAAGCTTATTATCAATAACAAATGCTAAATTTCTAGGATATATTTGCTCTCAGCCAATCATATTTCACAATTTCAGTAGCTTATAGCAGTCATAGAAACTTGTTATTGATATTGTATATTATGTTAAACAAGTTTTATGAAATAGGGCCCAGATTTGTTTGACTAACATATTAGATCAACATTTATTTTTCATTTGCCTCAGAAGCAGTTTGTTGTGCCACTATAGAGAGATTATAGTATGATATATATATATTTTGTGTATAGATGTATATTTAACTGTCAAGATATGTTTGAACTTACAATCATGAGGAGTGTGATAAGCTTGTGTACAGTCTGTTTATCAGCATTGGTCAAGTCAATGGTGAATGTTGGTATCTCTTCTCTGATCTCTTCCTTGATTCCTTTCAGGTGACCATCTAAACAAAGCAATGGCACAGTTCCTTCTTAATCATCATAATAATAATAATAATAGTAATTCTCAACAAAAAAAACTCATCATTTTCATCCATATTTCTCTCATTTATCCTTTGCTATGAATGAAATCATCACCACTCCTCAAAAGAAGCTCCCTATAATAAATTAAAAAAAATATCTCCTCTACTCTATTTGAAGTTTGATCTCTTATATATATATATATATATATATATATATACAGTACACGCCGAAAATCTCCGCAACACGATTACACGATTTATTTTTAGGATTACACGGTTTACACGATTCACCTGAATCGTGTAACTGTGTAATCGTGTAAATTTACACGATTGAAGAATGTCGCTCTGAATCGTGTAATCGTGTAAATAGTTAAGTGCATTGGTCGGATGATTCGACCAGATGTAACAATCGTGTAACTGTGTAATCGTGTAAATTTACACGATTGAAGAATGTCGCTCTGAATCGTGTAATCGTGTAAATAGTTATTAGGGTTATAAGGGCATTGGTAGAACGATGCGACAAGCTGCAACAATCGTTAAATCGTATCCTGATGACACCAATTGCTTTATACACAACTTACCTTCAGTGTACATCAGTTAATTACTGTACTTTATATTCGTGTATAAACCTCAGCACTTTCCACTAACATGTATCGTATACTAATCCGTGAGACAAGGTAGGAAAACGTCAGAAACAGGAAGACATGATAGATGAAATAGTAAAGGAAAAAAGATAGCTACGAGGAGGAGGGAACATATAAAAGGAAAATGAGGGTTGAAAGGCACGATAAAGATAAACAGAAAAAAAGAGAGAAAAAAGGGAAAACTAAAAAGTTGACCGGAAGAAAAGAAAGAGTGAAATAGAGTGATAAAAAAAAAGAAGGGCGAAACCTAGTAAAATTAACAGAAATGAGAAGGCTATGAAACGGAGAGGAAAAGAGACAAATAAATAAGGTAAGAGGGGAACATAATGAGGGAAAGAGAGGCGAGAAAGATATGGGGGAATGGAAAGATATTGAAAGAAAGAGAGAGAGTGAGAGAGAGAGATAAACAAGCTTTAGTTGAAAGAAAAGGGGCACCGATCAGATTTTAATAGGGGCGTTTATCGGAGTTGATGGGGGCATTTATCAAAAGTGAAGAGGGGCACTTCTTGTACTTAAAGAGGGATACTTACTAGAGATTAAAAGGACACTAATGAGAATGGAAAATGGACACTTATTGTAAAGGAAAATAGGAACTCGTCGAAGGAAAAGGGGTGTGTGTCAAAAGAAAAGGAGCACTTATCAGAGTTGAAAAGGGGAAGGGGCACTTTTACAAATTAATAGGGACACTTGTCAAAGTAAAATAGGTACTTTTCCTACATACAAAGGGGCACTTTGGGGGAACTTGAAAAAGTGGGGGGACACTGTGCCGCTAGCTAAACGTAACTCAAAGACAGTTGGCCATTCACTTATTCTATTCATTCTCGGCTTGCAACTGTTCCCTACACTCTGTAGCCAGTGGCTTACATACTTACGTACATGTAATACCTATTGTTCAGGGGGATCCTATGTTCAAGGGGAACCCCCTGAACAATAGGTATTATGTAAGGATCTCTGCCTGTAGCTAGGGCAACGGCCTTTGTCCCCGGCGAGGGTCAATGGCAGGCCACATTCAGAGTAAGCTTCTTTTGTATGTGACAGGAAGTGTGCCCTTAAGCCTTGACCGTAGCTCTTTATACATATAGCTGAATAATGCAATGTTCTAAAAGGTAATTTACGAAAATGAGGAACGCTAAAAAAGCAATAAGTGATCAAAGTCTAAGGCCCGAATTCACAAAGGAGGTTTGTCGACAAACCTTGGTTTTCGTGCGTCATATGACGCGTTTTTACAAACCAGGTTTGTAAAATGGATAATGATTGAATAAAAAAAAGTATAACGATATTCATAGTAACGAATGAGCTGGTGAACCGTAATTCTAATTGGTAAAGCCTTGTAATGTAAGAGTATCACAACATACTTAATTATGTTAGCCCTCCTTTACATTTTGTAATCATTTTTACTTATTTACAACTTAGGAATAACAAAATTCCCCCCTTCCTTCGTCGTTCATCGCTTTTTTCTCACCGAGGATTAAATCCGAGAGTGCTTTTCGGGAAGTGGACTGATTTTTTTAACTTTCAAACATTCTATAATAAAACTAGAGACAAGACACTGCAATTAAAAATATATACAAGAGAAAGAAAGCGTAATCTTCGCTATCCCCTCGTATCGTCCACGTTGTCCTCGTTCAACCAAGAAGTAACTTCTTGCTTTTACTGAACTAGACGTCCTTAACCTGCTCACCATCACCACTGAAAATAAATTGTAACACAATTCCAGCGAGCAATCGAATCGTGTAAATTTTGAATCGTGTAATCGTGTTGCGGAGATTTTCGGCGGGCAGATTACACGATTACACGATTCGACCTGAATTGAGGAATCGTGTAATTTTACACGATTACACGTTTACACGATTCAAATTTCGCTTCATTGGCAAAAAACGAATCGTGTAAAAATAAATGGTTACACGATTCCCGCGAGCAGTCGAATCGTGTAAATTTTGAATCGTGTAAATCGTGTTGCGGAGATTTTCGGCGTGTACTGTATATACTATCAATGTTAGATTGCATTGAACTGTTTTGCAATACCAAAATATAGGGTAGTCGATATTTCCTGTTTTTGCATAAATAAATATTGTTTGCATGGGTATTGTTCCTCATGCCACAGTTTTTGATAATTGGATAGATATACTTTAGGCTTCACAATTATTATTGCACTGTTTCCAGTGCAAGATTAATTTATACCAGTGTTAAAAGAGTTGTCATTGAGCTCATTAAGACTGGAAATGGGTAATCAATCAGGGCATGTTGTTTTGTGCAACAATATGTAACGGTTTGTTGGGCAATTAATCTTTCCTGTTCTTTCATAATTTGTCAGTTTGTTTCCATGGGTAAGGTTTCAAATATACAAATGTAGCGCAAGACTCTCGAGTGATATTTGTGCTTAGTGTAATCTATGTTTCATTAGTGTCCAATCCTCGGTTATATGAACCAAGTCTTCAGAATGAGAGACATCACTCACCATGGAACAAACTGTTCATCAGCAAACCATCTCCAATTAGAAAGTTATCTCCTCGGCAGTTGGCTGGCCTGCTGTAAGTTGATCGATCAGCTAAGAGAGAAGAAAGTGAAATAGATTGATTTCTATCTTTAAGTGCTTCATTTATGGCAAAGAAAAGACTCGAGACAGATTGGACAAGTGGATGTCCTTCTATACCCGACTTATCTCTTGATGATTACATTGAGAAGGAATGTTGTTCCAAAGTTAAAAGGCAAGTAACGTGTTTGATCCTCTTTTGTGATTCTCTGATTATCAATTCCAAATACCAAGATCTAAATTTAAATCTTTTTTTTAAAACCTACTATTGAAAAAGAAAAAGTGTAATCTGAAATCTTGCTTTTGAATTTGATAAAAGTCTGTGCATGCCAAAAAAGTTTCTGAGGTCAATTTCATTGAGAACATTGTCTTATATGTCACCTCTATCCCTAAACTAACTAGATGCTCAAAACAAAACAAGTAATTTCATTACTCACAAGGTGGGAAGTTAAAGCGAGCAAAGCCGATACCAGTGGGCATGGATTTGCTCCTAGCCTTGCTATCCTGCTTACTGAAGGCAGCAGACAGACGACGTGGCTTCAGGGTTCCAGAGAGCTCAGACTGGGAGCGAGCTAACCGAGCTCGGTGGAGCTTGTTCATGAAGATGTCCGTTCGGTCACCGAGGCCGGCACTGGAACGACTGGTGTCTGGGGATGATACGTGAGAAACGTAGTGTACGATGAAGGTTTTTTGTTTGGTAAATGCATGAATTATTCTGTTTGCTTGTGACAGCTGATCAAAATGAAGATACGTGTATAGCAGAGAGAAGGAGAGAGAAGGAGAGAGATAGACATGTGAAGAGAAATACAAAGAGACATAGAGAGAGATAAAGAAAGAGAGAGAAAGAGAGAGAGAGAAAGAGAGAGAGAGTGAGAGAGAGAGAGAGAGAGAGAGAGAGAGAAAAAAAAAAAAGAATGATGAAATAGAGGACAGAGTATGACAAAAAGGGTGACAGAGATGGACAGAAAAGGGGAAAGGGAAAGAGAGAGGCGAACAGAAAGATGGATATAGAGAGATGGTCATAGAGAAATGGATATAGACAGGGAGGGACAGAGGGAGAGAAAGAGAGAGAGAGAGAAAGAGAGAGAGAGAGAGAGAGAGGGAAGAGGGAGGTGGGAGGGAGGGAGGGAGAGATACTGATAGCATCTTACCCATAGGGAATGGAAACTCCTTGTTTTGTTCCATGTCTACCTGTGCCTCTAGAGCTAGAGTATCTAGACGGTTCATGAAGAACTCCCAAGAGAGCACAGGGGCCTTTGGCATGAAGTGATGTAGAAGACGCAGCTTAGACAGGATTAGCACACGATCTTCCAGGACAGAGTCCCATTGAAACTCAAGACAGCCCACCAACACCTGATGAAGGTTAATCAAAATAAAAAGGGTTAATCAAAAAAGTTAAATATAGAACTATTATGAAGGAAACATTTTTATCACATTATATACTTCTAGGCCTCTGGTTGGTCAAAACTTCAAACTACTGAAATTGAACTAATACTAATGAAATTCACTACTGACTGCTGGGCAGTATAGCAAAAAATATTGATGGAGTGTCCAGGCTTTAGCATGGCTGACATTATTGAGCTCTAGTACTTCACGTAATCAATTCATTATTATAAGATCAATACATTCATAATAATCATCTCACCTTGATGACTTTCATTGGAATGCTCTCTAGCATAAGAATGGCTCTAGCTGAGACAGCAGGACAGATATCTTCTGTGGCTACTACCAATGAACTGAAGGCATGAGCAAGTGAGCCCATGATGACCGAATTGTTTCCCAGTGATTTCTTTTCTACGCATCGCAGCATGACTGTCACTCTCTCAGCTGTCAATAGAAGGAATGGAAGACAAGTTTCATGTAGAATAGTGTCAAAAACATAAAAAAACAAAACACAAGTTACAAAAGCCCGGACCCTAACCATATCCCTGACCCTAATCCCGACCTTGGCCTTAACCCTAATACATGGCGTATTGATGCCCAGTGTGATATTCTGCAGTTAAGATAGATATTTATTTATTGACAGCAACAGCAACGGGTATAAATTATTCACCTCACACAATATGGCGGCTAAAGTATCACTATATAACCAATAAACCTACAACATATATGAGCGCTTATTAGTATCAAACTAAAACAATTAATACTTCAGTCATAATGCCAAATCAACTCCCCACTGACTCTAAACCAACCCATTCTTGGCCATTTAATAATAATAGTAATAGTAATAATAATAATAATAATAATAATAATAATTGATCGTGAGCCTAGCAGCCACTGAGCAGCGCCAGATCGACGTTGCTCTTTCCCTTATTGTTGAACGCCAAACAAGGTAGCAACAACTCCCATCTTTTAACGTCTTTTGGTATGACGCGGCCGGGGTTCGAACCCACGACCTCCCGGTTGTGAGGCGGACGCTCTACTGACTGAGCCAACACTCCGGCCAACATTTGTAGTCATGTACTTTATTTGTTCAGCCTTGGGTCAGTCTCATCAGTGTGACTGGGATATATAGTCTATGATTTTCTTACCTGCTCTGAATCTAGTCTGCCAGCTTTCACTCTCTACCTCGTTATCCACCAAGCTCCACATGACATCTGCTCCACAGGGAAGGGCAAAGCAATGCAGTATGAGAGGCACCAGGAGCTCAACAACATGAGATAACTCTCCTTCCAAAAGGTTCCAGAAACTATAATAACAATAATATTATTATGATTATCATTATGATCATTATCATTATCATCATTTTTATTATTATTTATTGGGCATAATAAAAAAACACATTATGTTTGAAGAGAGTCACTTTGATGCCAGGAAAAAATATTAACAAAATATAAAAGATAGTAGAAGATCGAAAGAGACATACTTTATTGCCTATTGAAAGTGAAAGGAATAGAGATATATGTACATGTAGGCAAGAGTTCCTAAATGTGTACGGTACTCACTATAGTCAAGAATTAAAACAAAGTGGGACAAGTCAGTCCATTGATCTAGGCCTCAGGAAATGTCTTCCAATTCAAAGGAATCATACAGTGCATTTTTATGTTTTTATATCACAATTTTTATTACAAAATAGATATCTAGGGGTGATAATATTAGTATGGAGGCAAAGTAGGAATCCTTTCTACAAGATAGGAATGGTTCACAGCTACTGAAAAGAACCACATGGTTCGACTATCTGCCATACCCTAATGTCCTTTGGCAAAATATAAATCTAAATTTGAAACTCTCCAAACATATCAAGTAAATGGGTAACTAGATGTCTTCCCTTGAATGCTTTTAGGGTCTGAGGTCAGCTAGACTACAGTTAAGGTAATACCAGTACCTTGTAGGTACCTTCAGTATCCCCTGGGGTGGATATGTGCACAATATCAATGCTGCTATCAGCATGAACCCATCGCCTACAGGAATTGGGTGATCCCTGTACAAAGACTATGGATATTTAAAGAACTCGGGTGTAAGAGGTTAAAGGGATTGTTTAACAATGTTAAATCTGAGATACGCAGCCCTACGTGTTAACACCGCCTGTGATATGGTGTAATATTGAAGCCCTAAAATAAATTATGTTTCAAAATGATCAAGAAGTGCCTCAAAAATGTAAAACTCTTTGAGTGACCTGTTTTACCATACTCGTTTTCCCCAATAGACAAAATTTGTAATTCCAATCATAAATATCTTGATAATCAGACAGGCGATCGGCTTGTAAAAGTCATGGGGTTCCTGACTGTCCTAAAGGTTTATAATTATCATTGCAGCATGAGCTAAATCCAGAATTTTGTTTCAGAATCTGAGACAAAGTTAGCGGATCCCTTTAATACCTTGGTATGAGCAAGTTCTCCTGTGCATAGACTAGGAATCCGACTTGATCCTTGGCCGCTTGTCTCAAGCATTCTGCATTCAAACACAGTACCTTGACACAGTTCAGGAGGTTCAACAGCACATTAGGGTCGGGATGCTTGGATACTTCCTGCAATTTAATAAGAAATTCAGGCCCATTTATGATCAAATTCAGAAGCATAAAGCAGCTTGACTTGAGCATTCTGCATTCAAACAGAATATGTTGACAATGTTCAGTAGATTTAGAAGCACGTTAGGGTGTTTGGATACCTCCTGTATATCAAATATAAATTTATTCCAATTCGTGACCAACATCAGAAACATAAAGAACAATATCTCTTCATGCAAAAGGTATATTTATTCCAGGTTGAAGACAAAGTTTTGAGATCATTCAACAATTGTTACTAGAGAGTGTATCACCAGAATTTGAAGTGGATGGCAGACATCAGAACATTAAAGCAATGGTCGCTAAAATAATCTTGTATCTAATGGATATGGAATGGTATTACATAAAAGTAAAGCAAATATACTAATATACAATACTCTGATTTGTGTGTGTTGTCTGAACTCATATCAACCCTCCATGAGTGTTTAGTTGTCTTTGAAATCATGTTCCAAATCATTGATTTTAATTGATGTTTTTGTTGACATTTCATGTACTTGCATGAAGCTTCATTCAGATATGACAGGTAAAACAGCAGTGGTTTAGATTTGTTACAATGATATAAGAATAATATGGCACACATTTCTGTATCTTCTAACACAGAGGTCAGTGATTATACATAGGGCCTTTGCTGCATGCAGTTGCCATTCACTGACATGATTTAAAAAAACTGCTGCAGTGTACTGCTCACATCTGAACAAGTGTTAACTTGAATACCTGGAGCAACATGAAGAGAAGCTGAAGTGATCTTGGTAGCTCTTCTAGTTTGATGGTGAAATCTCCATGTCCCGTATGCCAGGTTGCCTTGTCATGATCTTTCTTACCCGGCTTGCCTTTATCTCCTGAAAACAAAAGAAAAGTCACATTATTAAAAAAATATATATCTTTGACTTACTTAAAATCAGAAACTTTTGAGTACATGTTTGCTAAATGCGTTCTGATTTGTGAAATTTTCACACCACAATATTCATTGATTCACAACAGAAATGAGACTGAAATTTTGAGGTCCAAGAAAAGTTCTTGCTGTGAAAAAGCTCTTAAGGTAATACTGGTGATTCTGCCCAGATGGGAACCTGTTCTCTATGACTGATGGTGGTTGCATTGTAGAATGCCACTTTCTGAAGAAGAAAAAAAAAGAAAGAAAAAAAAAGAGGAACATGAAAAAGAAAAAGAAGAAAAAGAAGAAATGAAAGATGACGATGAAGAAGAAGATGAAGGAGAAGAAGGAGGAGGAGGAGAAGAAGAAGAACAAGAAAACGGCAGCTATTGTTGTACCTTTCTGTGGTTTGAGCCCTCCTCCTGGTTTCTTGGCTGCTCTCTCTTTCTCTGCTTTCAGGTTGGTGACTGCTGAGAAGGCCTGAACTGTTTCAGCCGTCAGGACCTCAGTCCGGACCTCTGTAGCAGCCAGCAGACCCTGGGCTGTAGAATCGGTCTTATTCTAATGAGGAAAAGGTATGCAAGCAATAGGATAGCAGTCATAAATTAGGCTTGAGTTATGTTTGAGAATCATTTGAAAACAATATCTAGACTTGTTAGGATGCCATTCAGAAATAAGGCTTGAGAAATACGAAGGCTTATCATTCATATCAGAAATCTTCAGAAACACACGTGTTCAACTAGAACATGTTTACACTAGAATTGATGGTGCTGTTTTATCTAAATAGTCAAAACTGAAATGGATTGCATTCAAACAAGATTTCATTATTGATCAGCTCAGAGCCAGGAGGGTGCTAACTCTACCTTAAAGTCTATGAGTAAACAACCTTCTGGCTCCAAACAGATCAAATATTGTTTGGATTATATCGGATATTGACAGTATTGTAATTTACACTATCATATAGAGCTCTATTCAAAGTAAAGGTTTCTGCAGACAGTTTAGATGTAATACTTGCTTACATAGATCGGATGATTATTACAGTGTACTTGATAATTTTCTACAAAACACATGTTATATATAAAGTGTATTAATGAGTGAAGCAACATTATAAATTGATATAACTTAGGTGTGTGAATCACGAGTACAGTGTACAGTGGACTGGTCATGTCATATTAGTCAGCAATGGAATGTTAGTATGTGTAAGATCAAGATCTCTACTGTGTATTATCTGTAAATTAAATTATGATTCCAAACCGAATGAAATATTTATCTTCTTTTCAGTTATTTTATTCAGCTACCAGTACACAAGAACTGAATTCTTTACTATCTTAATGAAATTGAATACCAAACAATTTCATCAAGGTTTTGACCATTGATACATGTGGGCCACCAGATTTACTATAATATACCCCACAAAAAATAAGATTCTGTACAATAAGTTTCTGCCATTAATTCCTCAATTTCATGATTAACAAAATTGACTTGAATTTTGAGGAGACAGGCTTTCATTTGCCTAAAATATATGATAAAATATAACAATTTAAGTGGTTACAAATTGTCCACTGCTACAAGAGGGTAAATAAGGTTCTGCCCCTCCCTAAGCAACACATTTGGTTTCATCTGGATATATACATGATCACAAAGGTACCACACGAAAGGTACATGAATTTAGTTTGATACATTAATTAGGCCTATACATCATGGCACGAATGCGAAGTACTTGGTTTTTTAGCTGACATAAATCATAATAATATAGTTGTTGTGTTTACTGCCATCTACTGAGGATTAAAGGAATTTGCAGGACATAATTAGACATGTTACTCACATAAACAATAAGAACAACAAAATGACAACACAAACAAAGAACAAATATCACCATTCTCACTTGTGGGAGATATCAAAGGTTCAACGGAGGAAAGATTTGAACAAAACCATCACAAAATACCCAAAGAGGAATACTGCACTTATCTCTGCTCTTAGGGCTACAAACATCTTCATACAATTACATGTATGGCTAGTTGGATGTTTTGTTTAGTTATGACAATGATGGGGGTAAAAGACTCTCAATCAAATAAAGGAATTTCATGGGTCTTCTATTAAACTTCATCTTGGAAAAATTCATCTCAAACATAAAGAGAATACATGTTTAATTGAAGCTCAGCAAATTCAATATGACTCTCCTACATCATACATAAATTGAACAAACCAGTAACTTTAAAGATTTCTGTGCTAGAATAATTTCAATGATATTATGCAATTATGTTTTACAAGTAAAATATGTTACAATTTGTGGCAAAAGGGTTTAATTCATTGAAAATTCAATACAGATTTTCATATTTTTGGCTTTGAAAAATTTGGGTTGTTTCCTCCATTATAAAGATAACTAAATCTTCCTGTAAATCTATGGAGTAATAGGGTACATTTAAGACAACCAGTATTTCATCTTCCAAAGCAAGAGCACAATCGTACACACAGGTAACATTTTCAAACAAACATCGAGACAAAGATTACAGTCATCTAGAATTCATCCTTCTTTCTCTCTGTGGTCAGCAGCCATCTATGGTGCAAAATAGTGGTCTGAATACTAAGACTACATGAAGTGCTGGGAGGTGCTAGTTGTGAAAGCAAAGGTCAAAGGTCAATATTTCCTTGTAAAGAGAGATGGAAAGAGAGAGAGAGAGAGAGAGCAATATAGTATGACAAATATTTACCTCAGGGACAGTGAGTCCCTGCGATTCCAACCCACAGAAGAAAAAACAAAAATATGGAAAGAATCATGGAAAGGTGAAAGAAAAATGAGCATGAAAAACTGAAATTGAGAAAAAACAGTGCAAGATGAAATTTGTGAGACAGAAACTGATCAAAGTGAGATAAATGACAAATCATCCAAAGATTTTAGAATACTGTGATGCTACAGTCTGTTGAAGGATATTAAAGACAGTGTGTCCCTTTTGTTTGAGAACATCTGGAGTTGCCTCTAATACTCAATTTGCTTTTGAGATGAGATTTCTAATCAGACCATAACAAAATACAATGTATGTCATGAGGTTTCAGACCCTCTTTTACCGCATGGGTGTTATCTTGTTCACAGTCAAGACCAAAATATCTACATGAACCTTACTTTCAGCATTATTTGAAAACAAAACAGTTTAATTTAATGCTATTCTAAGAAAGATATACTATTGATAGTCCGACAGAAAACCTATGAAATTAATGGATTTTCATGCTTCATTTAAAAACTAGATCACTGTGATTCAGTCAAAGATTTTAGTGAATTTGATGCAGTACGCAAAAGGAACACAGGGCCTTTAAAGTAAGATACAAACTGTAGAGGACATAACATATTATCTAAAAGACATTCAAAAGGAACAATAGTAAAAGTGTTTCATGTCAAATTACTTCTTTCTTTGGCTAGGAAATCATGTGAATTGATTTTTTGAGAAATCTAAGGAAAATTAAAGCTAAGTTTTTGAAACTGCACAAATTGACACTAAATTGTCAAACTCCAAGAAATTTCTGTTTTACAAAATATATTAAAACTACTGATAGTAATTACTAGGGATGGATTTGATGCCAATTTCCTCTGTTACTGTACCAAAGGCTAGTCAATTATGGCCCTAGTAAATAGACATATTTCAAAATTATAGCTGTAACAAAACAGTGTGTGTGAGACAATTACAGACAATGATGAATGAATGTATTCTAGGTCAAAAGAAAGTTCACAAATTATCCAAAACAAAGAATAAAGACATACACAAGATAGTCAATGACTTAACATTAAAAGTTTCAATAAATGAAAATTCCTTTGTCTTTCAACACCAACATTTTTTAAATAATATATACTGTATGTGCGCTCTGCCATCAATTGACATCCAGAAAATTTCAATGCAGAAAATACCAAAATCAAGATACTGCTCTGTTCATTTTGATGTTAGTAAAATTTGATTTTATATTTTTCAACCAGAAGGTCAATTTTGCATGAGCTAGAGACACCCTACTGATTCTGTGTGTGCTAAATTAGCTCAATGTTCTCTTGGTTCTAAGGAAACAATACGAGACTAAACAAAGAGAACAAGACTAGGTGAAAAAAAGACTCTAAGCCTTAGATTGATAAAACGTATTCGTTTGAAAAGAGTTTTTATTCCTCAATCATTCACAACTTTTAATCTATTCAATCCTCACCTTAGTAATTCTCTTGTGTTTGCTCATCCCTCGATCCATGATACCCTTGTTCTTCTTGCTCTTAACATCGTTGGTCTTACAGATGGTGAGGGCCTCCTCCAGACTCTTCTCAAACTGGTACTCAGAAACATCCGGCATGTCACAGACTTTGGTCTCCCCACCGGGAGCGATGCGCTCCAAGAGCTTGAGGGAGAGCTGAAACCACAGAGCCCAGAGCTCACAGAGACTACATGACATCATCTTAACACCATTCGTTCCCATTGCCTGGTTGGGAGGAGAGACAGATAAATAAATAAGTACTACTTCACTGATTCACTGAAATCATTTTGGGACAAATACAAACATGTACCTAATACTTAAAACTAGTAAATACATTAGGAATGATTTGAAATACATATATGTGAAATCTTTCGGAAGGAATAAAACCATATACATTATGATAGGTAAATTGTAATTTAACATCAATTCAAAATAACTACAACGTTATACTATTGGTTTCTTGTGTAAATATAATGGTGGTTAGCTTGAAAAGCATTATGTACTACTGTACATGGAAGACATTTATACTCACTCTTAGATCCTAACAGTACCGATGCTGTCACATCATCAAAATCTATTTTTGGAATTTCTTAATGTTTTTCTTCATTTTCCGAAAGAGCATCAAAAATAATTTCCAAATATCAAAAACCAATTGAATATGTTAAGTATGGGCTGAGATATGACCATCTGAAAAAAAAAGATTGCCTATGGGAACTCAGTGTTATGGGAAAAAATAGATTTTCTGATGACGTCACACTTCAACACTCACTCCAAGTGATTCACTTATTGAGACAATCACACATATCAAAACTTGTCTAATATTTTCCAGTACTTTATCCATTGAGTGCAGCATTTCCATTCCTCTTTTTGTATACCCATGTACCCCTTTATTTACATGCGAAAATCAAGTGCAGTAGCAAAATGCCCTAGCTTATCACATTATATGGTCTCTTGCTTTATTCCTTTGTAAGAAACTTGTATTTTAACTAAAAACATATTTTGTCAAACTTACATGTTATTCATTGTATTTATTTGTATGATGTTTCTTTGTATTGATATTGAAAAGTGGAAATAAAACAAAAACAAAACAATATGAAAACAGGCCTTTAGCATGTAGGTTTAGGGCTTACAGTGAAATAAATATTACAAAAACAAAGAAATTTTTTTGTTTTTTTGTTCTTACTTCATAATTAGCTGTACACTTATGACCGATGGACTTCTTTCTGTACTTCCCAGCATTATTGGTGTTATCGGACGAATCCTGTTTGGCTTCTGCCGCCTTCTCAGGATTTTGTTTCTCGTCTTTCTTATCCTTTCCCTCTGCTGAGTTGGTTTCAAACATGTTCTCTGTCACCCATGGGGTTTGAAGCATGGTGGTTAGAAGGGCCACAAAGTCCTTGGATTGGCTGTGCTCTAAGCCTTGATGGAATGGCAGATACTGAAGATCGCTCTGTCAAGGTCAGATTCAAAGTTCACATTAACAAAGTAGAAGGTCACATAGAAAGCTCATACTAGAAAATATCACAAGAAAGGCAATATGAACTCATGATACAAGTGTACGTTATACAAATACTTGTGTATGATTTTTTTTCAACACCGTAATTCTAAAGACTATAACCATATAAAGAAGACTAAATTGTGCATGTAACTACAAATATTTACAAAGCATGCAGAATATTTGCCTTGAGTGTTTTTTTCCCGAGAAATACAGAGTGATGGAGTATGGAAAAAGAAAAAGAAATCTCTTTATACCATATAATTTATCATGCATCATGGTATATTTTGTGTGTCAGTAGAATTGTGTGCGCTCAGTAACTGTGGCAGGTAGAATTGTGTGCGCTCAGTAACTGTGGCAGGTAGAATTGTGTGCGCTCAGTAACTGTGGCATGGTGTAAAACATGCCCAAAGTTGCCTTGTGCATCATTTGTATATTTTGTAAGTCTCCTTTTTGGGGTTATCACTTCACCAAATTCAAAGACTAAATATCAGCCAAAATTCAGTAGGGCGACGATATCCCGTCTTACGAAATTGATATCGGCTTATACCAGTCCAGTCTTGCATCCAGTTCAGCTTATGAATGTTTTAATGGAATAGCTCCCTCTTATTGACATGAATTACTCACTGCATACAGACCAACAAGAGATCTCTAATAGTGAAAAAGGAATTTGTTTATTAATTATTCCTCCTATTCTGACAGAAACATGGTAAACATTCATTGCCCATGCTCAGTAACCTATTTTCTCTTTGTTTGTTTTCTTTCTTCCCAAGCGCATAGGGCAATGTGTTATGCTCTATACAAGAATGCTTTATTATTATTATTATTAAGTTCAGGCAGTTTATTTACATGTACTTCAGTGTATAGCTTGCTTGATTGCTAGGTGCCATGTCAGTGACTAACAGTGAATTTAGGCTGTCTTTACTCCAATCTTTAATTATCTAAAAAAAAACATTAATGGCTTACCAATAGAATGCAGCATGAACAGGTAGGTTAAGTTTTTTTTAAATACATACTAGGTGTACATTATTATTCTTTTAGGTGTTTGGCCCCCTTTCACATTTGACCCCTACGACCAAAAAGTGCAATGTACATGCAACAAACATCAATCATGCAAGACCTTCATGCATACCACTAAGAAGACGAGACAAAACACATGTGGGAGAGGAGTGTTGGTTTCTGGTAGGCACAGTGATGAACTGGCTAAAAACAGCAAACATGCACTGAAATAGAAAAAGAAAGATGACATGTTTTTATAGTGTAAATCAAATTTGCACACATACAAAATGTATGGATATTATGATTGATCTCATTATAGTAAGAAACCTTGATAAATCATGATGAATGGAATTACATGTATCAAAAGAAATAACAATACATTAATATTGTTACACTATCCACGATGTAGCATCCTATCAAAATCTTCATCATTTTCACAATGTCATTCTCTGTCATTCCCTGCCATCATCATCATCACCAACACCACCCTTATCATCAACATCAACACGATGATGATGATGATGATAATCATAATCATCATCATCAACACCCTTATCATCAACATCAACATTATGATCATCATCATAATCATCATCATCATTATCACTACAACCATCACTATGATCATCATCATCTCCATAGTTGTCATCTACCTCTTCCTCCGCTTCATAATCGCTATCAACTTTCATCATCACCATAACCTCTAATACCACTCCTTTCCTTACCATTACCAGTATGCCTTCACGTAATAGGCAGTAAGCTCCTTTTGCAGACTTATGCAAACTCAATTAAAGTTGACAATTGTTACAATATATCCTTCAGTGTGTAAAATTATACAGTCATAGGTTCTGAAATTTCTTTGTAAAAAATTAAAAGCTAGTGTTGTTTTATAATGCGGCAGAGGGAGCTATTCTCAAATTAACACATAAAAAGGTCAATTTTTTTTGGAACTACGGACGATTATTCTTCAAGTTTAGAAAATATACAGCTGGAATAAAACTTTCAAAATTTACATGTTGAAAGTCAGTTCCCATTTTTAAAAATAATTTTGTAAGAGGTTCCTAATAATAGACCTTTTCAATATGTCAATGGATTCATGGAACTTAAGGTTTTTATGTCTGTAAAAGCCACGAACCATCACCATTACAAGTACCGTCAGAATTGCCATCACCCTGGTCACAAGAATAAATGAGCCATTGCATGTAATCTCACCTGCATGATAAGAAGATCGAGCATGAGCACAAAGCACCGAAGAACCTCCTCCTCAGTCTGTTCCATCTTAGCCTTCTCATCTTTATCTGGACTCAGAGGAGAAGGGTCAATCGTCACGTGTGGGGGCTCTGCTGGTAGAGTGCCCCCTACCCCATTGGTGGGTAGCTCTAGGGGTAGGGTCTTAGGGGTGCTCAGGACACTTGGCTTCAGTGGCTCTACTTTCTTAGGAGTTTCAGTAGGTTTGGGTATCTCTGTAGGTTTGAGTGCATCAGGTGGTTTGAATGGCTCTGTTATCTGTAGAAAGGACAATAAAACGATTATTCTATAACCTTCAAATAAAAGAAACATATGCACTTTGAAAAATAATGAAATGACACTCACTGGCATAGAAGCCGATACATGTAGTTCAAGTTTGATCTTATTTGTCCATAATGTAATTTTCAAAATGCCCAATTTTCATTATTTTAAGAGTTGGACGCTGATATTAACCCCTCCTTTCCCACCAAGGTTTTAGACAATAGTCATTAAAGAACTATCGATAGTAAATTTTTGGTATACAATGCTTAATTTCAATGATAAATTGGGTATTAAATAACTTTCATGGCAATTAACCTCTGATGTCAGTATATGTAAAGGTTTCAGGATGGGAAATATAGGCCTTTCAACTCTAAACAAACATTTGCCACTGACAGCAAGGAAGATAATAAACCATGAACCAGAAAATGCTCAGTCTCTGTTAAAGCCATTGGCAATGGGATCGACAAAACTGGTACTAGAAAATGCAATGAAACACTGGAATTGGAAGGAATGTCTATATTATAAAAAGTGCAAGAAAGATATTTACTTTCATGACTCCATTTCCTTTATTCAAAGAAATAGGAGATGCTGGCATCAGCGTATCTGAGAAGAACTTGATGACCTGGGTTGGGCGCCCTACTTCCTCTTTCTCCTTTGCCTTGCCACTGTCCTTGGATGAACGTAGGTCCATGTTGGCTCCAACTACTACCGTAGCAGCACTGTCCGGTGAGAGGGTTTGCTTGTTAGTAAACATGGCTACCTTGGCGCGTTGGATGTCCATGATGGAGGAAAGGCCCTCGTTGAAGATAGATAGGAGTAGCTTGATGGGAATGACAATGTCCATTTCAGACAGGACCTGGGCATGGATTCAAGTTATTTCATATAGAATTCCATTACTTATGAAATAATTTGTTATATATCAAAGAGTAGCAATAGAAGTGTGACTGCTCCGGGTTTGCGAAAAAAATCTTTGACGAGGTCTGGTTACTGTTAGGGCACTGGCTTGTTGAAGTCATTGAGCATTGCGAGAAGCTCTTTGACGAGGTCTGGTTATTGTTAGGGCACTGGCTTGTTGAAGTCATTGAGCATTGCGAGAAGCTCTTTGACGAGGCCTGGTTATTGTTAGGGCACTGGCTTGTTGAAGTCATTGAGCATTGCGAGAAGCTCTTTGACGGGGCATGGTTATTGTTAGGGCACTGGCTTGTTGAAGTCATTGAGCATTGCGAGAAGCCCTTTGACGAGGCCTGGTTATTGTTAGGGCACTGGCTTGTTGAAGTCATTGAGCATTGCGAGAAGCTCTTTGACGAGGCATGGTTATTGTTAGGGCACTGGCTTGTTGAAGTCATTGAGCATTGCGAAAAGCTCTTTGACGAGGCATGGTTATTAGGGCACTGACTTGTTGAAGTCATCGAGCATTGCAAGAAGCGCCCTATACATTTTAATGACTGGCTAACATTAAAATACACACCTGTAGCCACAGCAAAGCCTTTTCCTGTTCCTTGGCCTGTGTGGACTTGAACTTGATAGCAATGAAATGAAACATCTTATCAGAAGAGAAGGGTAGCGGACACATGTCTATGTCAAAGAGACTGCATAGGATGTCCTGAAGCTGTGCTAGGTCTTCTTCTTGGATCTCTTGTGAGATTGACTCCATCCAGGCCGGCATGATGTGGTCCCAAACCTGCACATTTAGAAAGAAATCAAATCAAACATTTTATCTGATATGAAACGTAAGGGACACATTACAATGTTAATGCAGAGCTTGCAGCTAGAGGATGTCCTAGAGCTCAAGGCATGATGTACATGGTCCAATACCTGCAGACTGAAATACAATAATCAAATTACACATGATCAAATTATCTGCAGTCCCATTCATGAAATAAACTCACTCATTTCAACAGATAACACAACTTTGATATGTATTATTTTCACAATTCAAGACTAAATCTCAAATCTGCTGGGTTATGCCTATCAAACATGTGATCATAACTCATGCTGACTTAAAATTTCCAGACTTTGACTTCTGCATCTATCAATATTATCACATCATATAGGAGCAAGAAAACAAATACAATTCAACTTATAACTCACCTCAAATGAAATTGTGTTGTAAGGTGTAAGAGCAAACACATTCTTTAGCCCATCATGGAGTTCTGTAATGCGACTACATAATGTGTCCCTAGAAATAAAAAGAAAGTATCAGAAAATCTGGCTTGGTCATCTTTGAGACATACTGATGAGTAGCTACAAGGTACCTGTTTTCATCCTCTTGGCTATGGAAACCAGATGGTTCCTTTATCAAACCTAGGGAAATGGAGGGGGGGGGGGGAGCAGTAGTCAAGAGATAGAACTCAAGGTGCTAGAAAGGACTGCACAAATTTCTTTTCTTTTCAGTATTCATCTTTAATCTTTGTCTTCAAGAGATTTCACTCTAAATTTGAGCCAATATTTCATTTTCACTCGGAGCGGTCGATTTTGGATATGAGCAATATCTCTTTGATTTAATGCCTCCTACAATACCAGGGACTTGTTTCATAAAACTGGTTATGAATAGCAAGTGACAAGCTTCTATAACAAAATTGCTCTCAGCCAATCAAATGCCATGTTTTCAGTAGCTTATATCAATCATTGTATTATGTTATTATCATATATATCATATCATATATCTTTGTTTTTATTTTTATTTTAAATGTTAGCTTTTTAATGGAATTTTGTTGTTCCATTTTCATTCATATGACACATTATATATCATATATGTTTATGTTTGTAATTCCTTGTTTGTGTATTAGCTTTCTCTGTTCACTTTGTTTTATATATGTCATCTTTTAGTTCTTTTCCTATGTATTTATATTCAATTTGGTGTCTATATGATCTACTTCATGTTTGTAACATGGACTTGCTGAAAAGCAGTCTTTTTAGGCTGATGTGAGTTTTACCATGATTAAATAAATTCAATTGAATTAAATTCAATTCATTGATTACAAGCTTTAAGAAACAGAGACAGAACCATGATGCTTGGTAAGAGATCGGCAAGGGAACCGATGATGCGATGATAGGAAAACCCTTTCTTACCAGTGGCCTCCTACTTTAGCATAGTCTGCTGGGGTTGGCATGAGGCAGGAGACAAACACACTGAAATTAGTGTTGAGAAGCTTCAGAAGCCAGTTGGTTACATACTGTCAAGATGGAGAAAAGGAAGGAAGGAAGCAAGCCATAAGCCTTATTAACAAATGATGCGGTAATCTACCTTAAAGGGATTGGGTAATCTTTGCCTGAGATTCTAAACAAAAAGCCTGGATTTAGCTCATGCTGCAATCATAATTATAAACCTTTAGGTGAGTCAGGGATCCCATGACTTTTACAACCAGATCGCCTTTCTGATTATCAAGATATTTATGATCGGAAATCAAAATGTCAAAAACGATTTTTATAGCACTACAGTCTATTGGGGAAAATGTGTATGGTAAAACTGGTCACTCATAGATTGTTTACTTTTTTGAGGCTATTCATGATCATTTTGAAGCGCAATTTTTTTAGGGCTCAATATTACACTATATCACAGACACTGAAACCACGTAGGGTGATGCATCTCAGATTTAACAATTGTTAAAAGATGCCTTTAATAGAAGAACCCTGCAGCATGATAAAATGACACACATGTACAATATGCTTAATATGACGGTCTGTGTACCAAGGTAGTACATGTATTTATAATGCTCAGTCAAGTGACAATGACTAGAGGCTTGGCTGTGTGAAGCTTCTTTTTCGTCCTCTTGCCATTTACTAATTTATGTAAAATTAATGAATTTATTATGCTGCATGTTTAAAGGCATTTGACCATACTATGTGTGAACAAGATTTTACAGGAACTATCATTCTAAAGAATGAGAATGATCAATCAGTGTCAGACATCACTGAGCATATGATCTACAATAAAACAAAAATATTTTAAATTTTCTATTCATACAGAAATTATCAAGCACATCTTGATGTCATTACAAAAATACAACAACAATATTTTTAATTTTCTAGAGTATGTGAAGTGGAAATATTTAACAATCTACATTTCACTTATGCATGTATTCAAAATCAAATACATTTTAAACTGATTAACTCACCTCTCTCTTTAAGCCTTCCAACATAATACTCCCTGTAAAGAGGAATATAAAAAGGAAAAAGGATTAAACATCAACATGTGAGCTATGAACAATCACCAATTTCTTAGCTTATCACAATCTCTCTTTCATCATATTGAAAAGCAAAACTCTAAATGTAATTCCTCACGTGATACTCCACAACTCCACAAGCACTTTGTTAAGCTAAAATATAATGTCAAACTCTATAACTGTCTTGGGTAATTTAAAATAAACAGACGAGAGCCTGAATATGTATCGTTTAAAGTTCAATCATTATTTGACATTTTTACACTTCTTTTCCAAATCAAATGCAATAAACAGTATTGAAGGTGCTGTGAATGCTTTGACAGATGTGAACGAAAAATACACTTTTACCATCCAGTGAACTTAACAGCAAGATGAATGATGCAAACTCCAGCACCAAATACTCTGTGTTCAACATCCCCTACTAACTGAGCCGCAATCCTGAAGGAAAAACGATACATAAAACCCTATTCTCGCTACCGCAACTACGGTTTTCGGTCACGGAGGGCAGCATCAGCCATGGGTTTATTTGGAAAAGGCACTTCCGGTTCCTCAACAAATACGAGAAATGGAAAGTCCAATAGAAATTATAGTTTGGGAAACAATAAACTATAAGTAACAGATTATGATAGTGCCTACATAGATCTCACCAAATCATCAGGAGAGTTCATGAAACCTGAACAATAGTTTAGTCAAATAAGGAATTAGTTGACACTGCTTTACATTCTCTATGGAAGCTGAAAGAAAACTTGTTCTTGGGAGAAAGGTCTCCATCTACTGTCGAACATTGTATCGGCGGAAGAGTCAATTAATAGTCTAACCCTAAACAAATAACTCTGATGAAATAAAGCCTGAAGTCATTGTTGCCTGAGCATTATATCAGAGTACTATGACAGCATCACCAAACTAACCTTGCGTGAGGGTAGCAGTAAAGCCATACCATTGGAACAGCATACTGAGTAGTCTACCAACGATCTCACATGGGGTTCTATCATTGGGTGTACACTTCTCTATGAGCAGCCACAGACCGTAGCGACTCAAGAGACGAGAGTCTTCCTCGTTAGATTCCAGCTCAGCCATATCATTCTCACGGGGAGCCTGCGATCGAACGATAAGACAGTGTGCTGAATTTGAGTGAGGAGATATCTTCAGATTATTATGGTCTAAATAATGTGGCAAAATATCAGAGAGACAATAAGAACATAGTTAGAATACGAGTCTCAGCCACTTGCTGATGGCTTCATTTAAACCTTTTCATTGGCATTTATATCAAGTCAAACATTTGCACAAGTATTATTTTGTGGTCAATACAGGATTATTGGCAAACTCAGTCTCAATTTTGTGGTTAGTTTGAAATGTTCCTAGTATAGTGCCGAGTTGCCAAGACCCTTTTAAAATGGCCCAGCTCCTGAAGATAAGCAGCACAAATGTATGTGTTGTGCTAAAGGCCCATGAAGCGTACAACAGTAATATGGGACAATCAAACGCATACTATATCTCATCCTTTTTCTACATGTATTCCAGAAGACTGATTAAGGAACCAATAAATTGTTAACTACTGAATTCTCTAATTTCCATAGGCCTATAATACAGGGACCACCCATTTCCAGTAGGAAATGCATTAATATTTATTGTAATTGTTATACTTCAGTTATTGGTCAAATGAGACCTGCTGTTAAGAGTGGAGTATAACTCAATTCAATTCAATTCAATTCAAAAGAATTTTTTTCCGTTAAAAAGCGAACAAACATATAGATGTGATAGAGTACAGACAGTTTAAAATATACAAATCATGAACATTATGTTAAATTAATTTAAACAACTGTGAAAATGAGTAGAAGGAAAAGGGAGCACCTGTAGGAAGCTTATGTTAGCTTGTTGATTCAGGCGTCCAAATGAATAAAATAATTACACAGATATAATAACATAATAATGAGTATTGCGCATGGATTTGTTCTACCCCTCCCTCCCTCCCCACCCTCCCCCTTCTTTCTCTCTTATGGTAATTTACAAATTATATTTTATTTTGAAATAGGTATTAAACTATAACAAATTAAAAGGATAATAGATATATTTTAAGATTTTTCTTGAATGAGTTTAAGTAAACAGTATTGTGTGAGAGAGGATGGAAGAGAATTCCATACTGTGGGCCCTGTATACCTTACCGATTGTTGCATGTACTGCTTATCAATATTCCAGATGTTTAACTTAAGACTATTTCGAGTATTATATTTATGAATTTTAGAGTTAGTTAGTTTGGAACATAGTGGCAAGAGATGATGGTGCATTACCTTTAATACATTTGAATACAAACACAACATTTTGATATTTATTAAGGCTATAAATATTGAGGGTATTTAACTGTCTAAATAAAGGTTTAGAATGGGCCAAATAATGAGAGTTTGTACAATATCGTAGACAACGCTTCTGAAGTAAAAATAAGGGTTTCAACTTAGAAGGACTTGGACTGCTGACCTGTGAGAATTCATCCGCAGACTCGGGTTCATCGTCCTCAGCAGCAGCCATCAGAGGGTCTTTCTCTGTTACATGGGCCTCCTTCAGAAGACTGTACGAGTGAAATAGAAAATGATTGTCATCATCCATTTTGATCAATCCTAAAATGTGAGCTGAAGGGATTTAATAAGATATTACAAATACAATTTTAATGGTGCCATAGTGAAATAGGCCTCCATGACTCTCAATGATGAAGTAAGTTTTTGTGTTATAGGGCTTTTACTTTTAAAATTAACTTGTTCTTATGCAATGGCAATGTTACTGTGCTAGTGGCACTACTGACTTTGAAACTTGGGATTCAAAATATTCTAACTACTTGAATACCTGTATGCATATGAATATTCAAATAGTAAATTTGGTCTAATAATCATTGTCGACACCATCACTACCCCTAAAAGCATCATTATCACAAAGAATTATCACCAACATCATCATAATCACTACTGTCACCAAAAATGTCACCATCATGACTAACAGCATAAATATAATTATTATCATCACCATCGCAACCACAACCACCACCACCATCATAATCATCATCATCTTCATCATCATCACCACCACACCACCACCACCACCACCACCACCACCACCACCACCACCACCATCATCATCATCATCATCATCATCATCATCATCATCATCATCATCATCATCATCATCATCATCATCATCACCACCACCACCATCATCACTTCATCATCATCATCATCATCATCATCATCATCATCATCATCATCACCACCACCACCACCATTATCACTTCATCATCATCATCATCATCATCATCATCATCATCATCATCATCATCATCATCATCATCATCATCATCATCATCATCATCATCATCATCATCATCATCATCATCATCATCATCATCATCATCATCATCATCATCACCACCACCACCACCACCACCACCACCACCACCACCACCACCACCATCATCATCATCATCATTATCATCATCATTATCATCATCACCACCACCACCACCATCATCACTTCATCACAACAAACCTGATGATTGCTTCCACCAGCACAATCTGTGTCTCCTTATCACACGACCACGGATCATGAGGGAACTCCTGTATCACATGTTCACTGTCCCTGGGATGTATAGCATGATGGCAACATAAGCAGTAACACACTGGCTTATTGCCATGCTGTCCTGTGCATTCTGAGGCAAAGCACGTATAGAGGGCAGTCTTGTCATTCGAAGCACAGTTCTGTGAGAATATGTATGAGATTAAAGATAGTCAAACCTGCTTTAGTGACCACCTGTATAGAAAGACCACCTCTCTATAAAGACAACATTTGTGGGGTTTCCCTGGAAAATTGTTTGTCTGTTATCCTAAAGGAACCTATACGTAAAGACCACCTGCCTTTACAGACCACTTTCCTTGTCTCCGTTGACCAGGTTTCCCTGTATTACTGCCCTATCCAATCACAGGGAGTAATGTAGGGTGAACCATAGTTGTATAGGTATGCATATCTTCAACCCATTACTACTGAATTCCTATAGGCTTATTACTAGAACCACTAAGTCCCTATACACAACATGTAGATTATAGGACACTGTATTAAGGCAACAAATCAACAAATATATCATAAACTAATATCTTACCTCTTTCTCAAAAATACTACGCAGATACATATCTGCTACATTTACTTGCACATTTGACCTGTTTGCTCCTCTTCAATGAGTATTCTTCTATTTTTTCTCCAAAAGTGAGAAATTTGGTTCAAAGGAATTTCATTTTTAAGAAAACTTGTGAGATTTGAAATGATCATGAAGACTATATAAAGTCATATTATCAAGAATGTTTACAATAAAGTGATGTACAGATGACATTTTAGTCTATGTTTATGGACCCTGTGATTGAGGTTAGGGTATAATCAAATAAGTGTTCTAAAACCTAGGTGATATAACATTATCCCTTGAAGATCATACCTTGTTTTCACATGTTCTGGATACATTTTCCAGGGGTGTCAGGACATTCTGCAGTGGTTTAGTAAGTTCTCTGAAAGGAATGAGGACAGAATATGAAATGAAGACCACCACTAACAGGATTCTTACATAGCTGTTTGCTGGCAACTGAATTCCTGAAATAATACCGACTGATTTATTTATGTATTGGTGTATAATATTCCATTGTGTGTATGACAAATGTCAACCCAATCAATCCGTTGCCTTTTATACAAAAGTTGATCAAAGCACAAACATATTTTGATTTTATTTTATTTCTGCATTTTTTCCATATAAAATATAACTGAATAACAATGAACATATAAATGTAAGGTATAATACAACATAAAAAAAACAATAATTTCTTCATGTCAAAATATTTGTTTACATAGTATATGTACATATAATAACAAAACTTAATATTTCCATAACATATAATCATAAATTTAAAGTATTATCCATACTATTCTGTTGTAAAAGTGCAGGAGACCGCAATCATAAGCAAAGCTTGAAGAAGCTACACACATAAGCGTATCAACCCATTTTGTTCGGAAGCTAATAAAAATCATAGGACACCTAAATGAAATGATTAGGGAACAGATAAAATCTTAGGACACCAACTCTGAATAACAATAACACAGTCACACTGTCTCTGTTCAGCGTCCCAGTGTCATGTGAATAGGCACATTTGCTACTACCGGTATGATATGGTGTGTGCTACTGAATACACGATAGGAAGAAAGGCCCCTTCACAAGAACTTTTTCGTTTTGATCAAGAAACATTAAATGATTTTATAAATCTTATGGGGCATTGCAAGAAAGTTGAAATTGATTGCAAGTTTATTTGCAATAGATTGCAGCTCAACTTTCTTGTAATGCCCCACCAGTCTCCTAAATTTTGCTAAGATTAAAGTTTTAACAATTAAATTAAGTTAACTAGATCTAGCTTCAATTCCCCCCCCCCCCTCTCTCTCTTATTAATGGGGTGTTGCAAGAAAGTTGAGTTGTGATCAATTTCAAATTTGCAATTAATTGCAAGACTTACGCTTGATTTGGGGGATTTGAAATTTCTTGCAACTTTCTTGCAACACCCCATAAGAGACAGCATGTTTTCATCTTCATGTATTGTATAATTGGATATTGATGCATCAATGTTTGCTTAGAGATAAAACATTCTTTCTTTTAAACCTATCTTTGAACTTTTGAAGTTTTTTTATAAAACAAAATTAATATTAAATTGTTTTGATAGACTTGAGGCCTTTTTTTGCTATCATAAAAAATGTAAAATTGTGTACAAGAACCCTTTGAGAAGACAAAAGAAGATGGAGCTTACCTGCTGACATACTCGCTGCAGACTGAACAAAGGTAGAGAGGAGGTGGTTGTTTGCTATGTTTACCTGCTATGGATGGATCCATACACATCTGTGTTGAAGAATATAACAAATGTGCTTGTTTGTACAACCTCATCTTAAATTTATAAGGCATTTCCACAGTACCAGTATAACACAAAATATTACTTGTCAATTAATCATGTGAAAATGTACTTTTCTCCAATTTATACACCACTCAAGTAAGAGAGCTTATTGAGCTTTTTGTTTCATACAGTATTTGTCATGGTAGTCGATATATTTCTGGAGTTATTATAGACCGCTTCACCGACTAAATATGCTGTCAATTCAGTGGATGTTCTTTCCAGTGAAGGAATTTCCCGTAATGTATAACAGCATCTATATCACAATCAGGCCCACACCTTGCTCAGTGTAATGGCTGTATGCCATGCAGGCCTTTGTGTTGTTTTAGCTCCAAATCTCATAGATTGATGACAATTAGATGTTCTTCATATGAACAAAAATACATTTACTTTATGAATCTACATCTCATAAACAAATTCCTAATATTACAATAATGAAAATGTTGTATATGATGTTATGTACATGTAAGAAGGGTCTCATAAAAAAATGTTCAAGAAGTGAGCACTAGCTAGCTAGCAGACTGAATGCATACAAGCAGCAAAGTTGATTTTACATGTACCTTCACAGCAGCATTGTTGACTGGTGTTAAACAGGTGGATCTTTGACATAGTATCGGCTTCCAACCTGAACATAATCATAATATCAATCATTGTTACATTTGTATTGTGCTTATTTTTATTTCTCACTTCATTTCATTTCCAGGAACATAAAGGAGTTTAACAATAACAAAGATTCAAATAAAACAAAGTACAATAATAAATAAATACAATAACAAAAAAAAGAAACCATCAACTAATGCCTGTGGATTTCTTTGGAAGGCTCTTCTCATCAGCTGATGGTACAATACATACATATACATAGATATACATCATAACATGAGGCATAAATAATTCAATACCAAGAAGATGCAAAAGGCACATTAATATAAAAAGCTTTACATATAGTTAATATTTCAGTTTTTAATTCTGCGGTTGATCCCCACAAAGTGTGCACCATCTCCACTCGACTAGAAAGCTTGATACAATGATATTACATTTATACAGGTGTCACCTATCATAAATCTCAGTATTGTTGCTATATAATCTTTTTTGAGATGATTCATCATTACAAAATGTTGATGTGCTCTGTTACTGTTTCGATCCATTCCCATTTACACAAAACAAAAGAAATCTCTTCTTATTTTTTGTTCTATAATTTGTATCAACAACTTTTTCTGCGAACCAATCTACGCACATAGGTTAAACTCTTCATATGCCACACAAACAATCTGCCTATGCTAGATTGTATTTATCATGGCATAGAAATACTAAAAGCTTCAAGATCCTTTAACTGTTTCCAGTGCAAGATTAATCTATAAAGCTGTTGAAAGCACTGTCATGGAGATAATCAAAACTGGAAATAGGCCTGTATGGGGCTCAAAGCAATCCTTCTCTCAATTGGTGCCAATTGTCGTGCAATTAATTGGTGCCAATTGTCGTGCAATCAATTGGCAATATATTTGCAAATGAAAGCTTAATTACATAAACCTATGTCAGAGTGCGAAACCTTTGATGAGAACAATGATTTTTCAACTCACATGCATAAGTGAACTCCCTGCTGTCCAAACTAGCAGGAACCAGGGCAGGCCAGTAATGGAAGAGAAGGTTGGCTGCAGCTCCTCTTGCTGTGGATGGTCCAAAGGCGATGGTGCACAAAATGTCCTACATCGTAACCAAGACAACGGAATAAATCATTTTTTCTCAAGAATTGGAGGAATATCTACTTGGCAAACTTTCTCTACTTCCACTTTTACATGTAGTTTTGGACCTATGAGTTCTTTTATTGATTCATCGCACTGGCCAGTCAACATGTAACATTTTCAGATCATATTAAGGTATACAGTAGGCTTGGGGATGCACCATGTGAGAGAGAGAGGAAGGATTAAGGAGTCCTGAAAAGGACTCTTGGTAATCTCTCTTGAGGGTGTGTAGTCCTGAAAAAGACTACACCAACAGTCCTTTTCAGGACTACACACCCTCAAGAAAGATTACCAAGAGTCCTTTTGAGGACTCCTCAATCCTCCTTCTCTCTCACATGGTGCATCCGCAAGCCTACTGTATATCTACATCAACATGCAAGCCGATACTTACAAGAGGCATATTAAGGTAGTTCAGCAAAATGTTGGATTTGCAGTGAACAGCATACCCTGTGAATTTTCATGATGCTTAATGATAATCATAATGATTAATAAAGACAGCATGTGTTATATAAAATACCTTCACCTAATGTTTGTACTTTTCTTGGAATATTAAAGCCAATATATTGTTCTTAAAACAGCTGTCTATCACATTTTTGAAATAAAGTCACATTGATGTATTAACTCACCTTGAACACACCAGGCTTGTATGTCATGATGCTTTCTACTAGCAAGGCATGGTGAGCTGATGGAGATAGAAATCAATGGACTCAAACTTGATGGTGGTTTCAGGTTTGATAGAATTTTTTTTTTTTAAGGTTTGAGTAAGAGTTTAAAAAAAAAGGTTTCAGAAATCTGAGCGAAGCGAGATGGCGAGTGCTTGCCAGAGGTATTCAAGCAAGTCATGAAAAAATGGCACCTCACCCCCCAATTTCAAACTGGATTTACATCGATCTCAGGGACTACCAATTAAAGGAGAAAAAAAAAAAAAAAATCCCCTTAAATAATCAAAATAATCCACACAAACAAAATCAGGGGAAACTAGGGAGAAAATTTTGGGGAAAAAAATTCCAAAAAACTTCGGAAACCGATTTTAATCTGGAAATGATCAGGCCTGTGTTCCAAACAAACTTGACTGAGCCATAAAAACAAATGCTTGATTTTAATCTTGGAGTCAAGCTACCATGTACATGGCCATAAATAATAATAATAAAAATGGTGCTTATAAACTGCTTTCTACAGAAGTCTTTATACATGGATATGCATGCCAAAGCTTTACAAGGGTCTGAATTTGTTTCATTGCTCATGGCAGCTGGATGGCCACACAGGGTTCTTAGAGTGCCATAGGTAAAAAGTTTTCCTACATGTACATGTCGTTTATAGGTAGGCTTTACAGGAAGGTCTGGCTGTGGCATTAAGGGGTATATATCAACCACAATTGAAAAGTTTTATCATATCTCTTTCTAAGACCAAGAATTATTTGCTACCAAAACTTTTTGTCACAACACACTTGGTTACAACACCGTCTGTTACAATACCATTTGTTACAACACCATTTAATACAACACCGTACGTTACAACACCATTCATTGGAATACTGTATGTAACAACACCATTTGTTCCAACATCGTTTATTACAACACCATCTGTTACAACACTTTATGTTGCAACACATTTCATTACAACACTGTTTGTCAGAACACTGTCTGTTACAATACCGTTTGTTACATCACCATTTGTTACAACACCATTCATTACAGCACCATATGTTGCAACACATTTTGTTACAAGGTTTGTTACCTTTGTTTTTGCAGTGTTGTAGCACGAGCATGATCACAGCAGACATTGACATAGAGGCATACGTCTCTCCTTCCCATCCCATCACTTCAGCTGCACAAAGAAAAACATCATTTCATCACTGTACCAACATCAGGATTTTATGTGGTGGAAACAAACAAAAATCAAAATTACAGATTCAGGCTCCATAACACAAACATAAGTAAGTAAGCGAATGATTGTTTTTTTTCAACTAATTCCTATATGACCAATTGCTAAGCTTTAATGTGTTAAAGGGCCTTGGAAAGAAAAGCTGAAATAACTCTTTATACAACTGTATGCCACATAAACAATCTCCCTGTGCCACATTGTATTTTTCATGGGATAGGTACCACAGACTCTAAATATTATAACTGTTTCAGGAGCAAAATTAATCTATACTGGTGTTAAAAGGGTTGTTATGGAGCTAATCAAGATCAGAATTTGGTAATTTTGCAAAGCCATTGTGTTGTACAAAGCAATCCTATCATCCTTTGGTGCCTATTGTTTTGTGCAAAATTGCACAAGTGGCAAATTACTGACCATGCAGAAAGGCAAACACAGCAACCAAAGTAGCAAAAGTAGCAAAATCAACTAAACTCTGCATTGCTTTCTACAAATAGAATTGATATCGAGTCCTTTGACAACGTGAGGAAGATTTTCACAATAATATTTCTTTGGCATTGAGCAGGTGCTGACGCATAAAGATACATTAGAGAGATAAAACATGGTACACGCCATCCTGGTTACATCAATGCAGACTAAGAACTACATAAAGGGTTGCAATATTTATATTTGACAGCTAACTGGGTCATAGATTCTTGTTGATGATGTCATACTCACTGAGACATATCGGAAGCAGTGTGGTACATAGAAGGTCTACGGTCTCCTTCTGTAGTGATGATTGGAATACAGCGAGTGTAGATGCCACTGTGTGAGGGATAGTGTCAATGGTTTCTGGCTCCAAGAACCACAGTATGCATCCAAACAACTGCAAGATAGCCTGACCAAAAGCTGCATCATAAAAATGAAAATCGATTACATGACACCATTGATTTATTTAAAAAAAATTAATTTTACTCACTATTTAAACAGTATTTGTCTAGATGATAATTCAAGCTTTCAAAGATAACTGTAAAAAGTTCCATCCACAGGTAAAGCCAATATTATAGATTAAAAAATTTGTAAATATATCTGCATGAATCAAAACAAAGGAGGAAAATGCTATCATAAAAAGACGAAAAGCTAGCAATGGGTAACAATGGTAGATTTAAGACAACTTTAATAAATCCTATAATGCATTGGAGTCAGAAATCAATGATATGATTTGGCATGGTTGAGATAATGAAGAAACTAGATGGATGTTCGACTGCACGTAGTCGAAAATGACCCGTCGTGGAGCGATTTTACAAACCAAAACAGAAGCAATTAATAAAAGTTTGATTGTAATCCCTTTACAGGTTCACAGAATATTGTGATTACAAACGATTGAACTTTGACCTCATGACCCTAAAATCTAATCATTTCATCTGCTCTGCTAGATACATACATGTCCAAAGTTTGATAGTAATCCATCCATCAGTATTAACAATGCGTTCACAAGCTATTTTTGCATACATAATAAGCCCCATGACCTTTGACCTCATGACCTCAAAATCTAATCAGTTCATTGGCTCTGCAAGATACATATATGAACCAAGATTGTTGGTTATCCAGTCGGTTCTTGAGATAACGTGATCACAAGCTGTTTTTAATAATAATAATAATATTCCGTGTTTATATAGTGCTCAATACATCGATCCAACGATGTGATGTGCCAAAGCGTTTTACAGATATATTGTTAACCCTGCCGTTGTTTTTGCATACATTATAAGCCATGTGACCTTTGACCTTGTGACCCCAAATCTAAGCAATTCATTAGCTCTGCAAGATACATACATGGCCCAAGTTTGGTGGTAATCTATCAATTGGTTCTTGAGATAACGCAATCACGAGAATGGGACGTACAGACGGACGGACAACCAGAAGACATAATGCCTCCGGCTACTTTGTAGCGGAGGCATAAAAATATGATTATAAATAACATTAGTGGTCAAAGGCCTACAACAATAAATGTAAATGACCAATAATCAGAGGCGGCGCAGGGAGGGGGAGGGGGGGGGGGGGGCAAATTGCCTACCACTTTTTCAAGTACCCCCCAAAATACCCCTTTTTTCCCTCATGAGTGCCTCTATCCAAATCTGATAGGTGCCTCTTTTACTTTGGAAAGTGCCCCTTTTCATTTGTCTGATAGAAGTATTCAGGGTTTTGCGTCTTTATGACATGGTAAAAAGTACTATTTGTCAGCTCCCCGCAAGAAAGTCATAAGAGCTCTGTAGTGTCAATGGCAGTTACCGCCTTTCGTTGGCAAGCGACAGATTATTGCTACTCATCTGCCCTGAAACACTCGCAAACTGACCCCATTATTTCTTACCAAACTGTCCATACTGCACCAATGGTACGATATCAACCAGTCCAACAAGAGTCTCATATAAGCCTAGATAGTCAAGGCTTGGGTAGTGAGGGATACGAAGATTCACACGCTTTCTCGCTGTGCCAAATTTGGGTTCATCTACAAGAAGAATGTCAACATCTCCTGGTCCTTCTTTGAGTATACTGTAGAAAAATATGAGAAAATAAATCATGTTTGTAAGGTAACACCAAGAATTATATTGAATTCAGTGACTCACTCATACAACATATTGTTTTATGCACAGATCAGATGCAGAATTATCAACGTAAATTGCTACATATGAAAGTGTACTCTATAGACCATTTTCAAAATGTATTCAATGTTTAATATACACATTTACCAAACAAGCTATTATATAACCTGAATTTTATTGATAGTTATTTTTGAGTCTAAAAAACTTACTTTCTTAACGTGTGAATGAAATACTTCAGAGTGTTGGATATATCTATGCCTGTAGGGAGAGGTGCTATGTTGTACAGGATTCGGTTCTGATAATCCTTCACATTGCGGATCTTTGCAGCAACTGGAGCATAACAAAAGTGGGTAAGGATGATGAGAACATGAATGAGTTGACAAAATCATGATTGTAATAATAATGTAATAACAAGCAGGCGCGCCAGAAACAGTTTGGGATGGGGGGGGGGGGGGCAAACATTTTAGGGGGCTCACCTTTCAGGAGCAGTGGCGTAATGAGCAAACACATTTGGGGGACAGAAGAAAAATCTGCATCAGCATCACTCTTACATGTTACATGCTGGCTTCGCAGAACTTTTTTCAAAGTGGAGTATTAATGATCAGGTAGAGCATAGTGAGCAAAGCGAGTGGAGCCCCCTAAAGCTCAGGGGTTTTAGGTATTTAATTACGGTCAGATGAGCATCCAGGGGCCCTCTTTAGGGAGGTAAGAGGACACTTTTTTTTTTTTGGTCTCAAAATTTGACAATTTTGACATTTTGTCCAGGTGGGGGGGGGGTAAGGTCACCTTTTTAAGGTCAGCCATTGGCAATTTTTTTGTTTTTTGTTTTTTGTTTTGTTTATTTAAAAAAAAAAAAAAAAAAAAAATCTCAAAAGGGGAGGGTTTTCCAAAATAACATACATAAAACATACACATAAAAAAACTTGAGGGGGGGGGGGGTTTCACCCCAAAACCACCCCCCTGTGTACACGCCTGCATGTTTAGCCATCTACAGAATTGATCATGAAACGAGGATTATCAAAGTTTTATTGACACGATAGGTTGAACGAGAATACAGATGGAGACAAAGACAAATAAATTGAATTCTCATGTTGTTTTAGAAAGGAAAAAGTCTGATCTTTCATTTTTACATTTACCAAAAATCACGAAAATGACTGAATGAGGCGCAATGAGCAATGCAAGTAGAAAGCCCCGCCAAATTTCCCATAACTGGCGATGTAACCAAAATCGCTCCGTCACAGCGGAAACAATCGCTGTGCGCTGGCTCGCACTCAAAGGGTTAACATACTTTTGCCCCCAAATGACCTTTCTAGACATGTGATTTTATCTTTGAAATTCAGATACTGCCCGCCAAACAACTTTTTGGTGCCCTCTCTTCAAATTGTTTTTAATCACTCATGTCTGAAATATGCAACATATGAGTGGCACCAAATGAAAGAGGAGGATCTAAGCTTTCCAAATATCTGTCATTTATCAATTATAAATTAAGTTATGATAGAACATCAATAATTCTCAGTTTTGTTTTTTCTGGGACACACTGTATATATATATATATATATATATATATATATATATAATGTAAAAATAAATGGTTCTGCGTCGGTGCATAAAATGAATAGGACACAAGGTAGATAAATAAAAACACCGGAGAAGTGAATATTCCACTGACGTTTCGGGCATAGCCCTTTATCGAAGAAAGGGCTATGAAAGTGGAATATTCACTTCTCCGGTGTTTTTATTTATCTACCTTGTGTCCTATATATATATATATATAGAGAGAGAGAGAGAGAGAGAGTAAAAAAATGTATCAATGCTAGATGGAAGCTTGGATTGAAATTCACAAACACTTCTGATTTATTTTTATCAGGTGAGCGTTTCAAGGTTTTATATTGCTCTACATGGTTTGACAGTTATTTAAATGAGGACCAGGAATAATGAGCTGTTCTATGGATTAACAGTTGATCTAATAAACAGGTTTATTGTCCTGGGTTTTCTTCTTTTCTTTTCTTCTTAGGATTAGGTGTTAATGTGCAGGGTAAAAAATATTTAAAATTCAAGCTTGCTTGCATGAAAATAATACTCTTTACCTTTTTTTTGCATTAAACTCTATTCCAATTTTTGGGGGCTCTTTTATGACTTTCGGGGGCAAATTTGCCCGAGCCCCTGTGAATTTTTTCCCTGTTAATGTGTAAGGGTTACCAGGGGTGGATCCAGTCGTCGGCAGGGGAGGGGACCCAATTCGTGAGAAAATATTTAGCGGCGAAACAGCCGGCCGGTAATTCGCTCAGGGGGGGGGGGGGGGGGGGGGGGGGGGGGGGGGGGGGGGGGTTAGTGAACAATATTTGTTTTTGCTCCCGAAATTTGAAAATTTGAAAATCGCGCCGGTCGATAATTTGCTCAGTGGGGGGGGGGGGGACTAATTTTTTTTGGGGGCCCTCAAAAATGTCAAAAATCGCATCCCCCCTCCCCCCCTTTGAGCACCAGGGGACGGGGCCCCATCTAAAAAAAAAAGGATAAAATTAACATGTTTTACACGTTTTTCCCCAGGAGAGAGGGCCTAGGCCCCCCCCCCATGGATCCGCTACTGAGGGTTACAGACAGTCTGTATTATTTGAGGTGACTAATCTACACAACTTAAGACCATATCCGAACTGAAAAATTAAATCTATGAATATCAAAAGAAAGCATATGAGCCATAGATTACAATATCAATTAGGGTTGATATGCCATTTTAGTGTCTGTCAGAGGTGTATCACCTCTCGGAACTCTAATCTAAAGCTTTGAAATCAAAATTTGCTAGTTGTTGACCTAAAAACTTGCTATCGATAATATCATTTTATGTGGAGTATGCATATTCACAATGACTTTGCATTAATTAAGCACGGCTCATCGCCTCAGCTGTATAGGTGCTTCAGTGATCGATATGAATTCATTTTATTAAAGCCTCGGTCACAAATGCCATTACGAACTGCTACGAACGCCGTACGAACGATTTTCAGACAATGGAAATTCAGGAAGACAATGGAAAAACAGGGAGATTCTTACGAACCTTTGTGACCGTAGCATAAGTCGATCAAGCGGATTGATTATATTTATGTTTAGCGCCATCATAGACTACTAAATTCGTTGTGAAGAAATGGCATCCTTTTTTGATATCCAGAGGATGAAATCTGTTGATATTGGAGGCATCCCTGTGTCATGGATGTTAGATGCACTTAAGAAGGCAGAATGAAGGTATGTAATGATGCAATGTCATGAATGTTGAGTAATGATGCGATATTTTATGATTAAGTACCTTTCATTCGCACCTAACTCGCTGTGTGCATTACATGGATATAACTTACGTTGAACAGTAGCCGAGTCGGCTCACAAAATGTTATTGTTATGTAATGTACACTACGGCATGCGATTGAAAGGTACACGTATGCAAGAATGTAAACAAAGATTTGCCTAGTTTGAGTTAATGTACAGAGATGAGTACTTTGAGTGCATAATATGAGAAAGTAGGTATATGATTTATACATGCTTATATTGATAGTTTATAGATGGTTTAGTTATAAAGATACATGCTGTAATTAATATGAACAGAAGTGATACAAAGGATGTATGTCAGAAGTCTGACTTAGTTCAATTAAGCATGGTAACAAACATAGTTAGAATTGTATTTAGTTTATATGCAGTACAAGTTAACTGTGAGATTAGGAAAAGAGCTAAAGCAAAGATTAAAACAAGAGGTTAATAAGCTGTAAGGTGCATATTATTGATAAGAGTCACCAGATTTTCTTTAAGTATATGTATACTCATGAACAGTTGATTTATGATCCGTTCGATCTATTTTCATTAGTGCAGTTTTTACGGAGCATTTGGAGCAACGAGAGTATTGGAATAATAAAGAATAAAAGAAACGACCAATTACAAAGTCAAAGATGCTTCCGCTACAATCGGTGAATCGGTCAGGTCCACATGTTATGATATCACTGTAACTTCAGCAAATTTGACCCCTGTTCACCCCTATTTTGGAGGGGTTTGGAAAATGAGGTTTTAATTTGCTTTTGTGCAATAATGAAAGTGTAAATACTTTTTATTTCTTTATATTTGTATTCTACATTCATTCAGTTTTCCATTAATATCAAGTTGTATTTTCATCAGATAGGGTCTTTAACATAAAATAGATGAAATAAACAAAGAGCCTTTTTTCTGTGTCTTGAGCATGTGGGATGTTAAACAGAGAGGACTCATTAAGACAGAGTATTTTGAATGGGTTTCATAGAATTTGGATGAACATGATTGAAGGGTACCAGTATATTGAACTAATGGGAAAGGGAGTGGTATAATTGGGAGAGAAAAGAGGAAAGTGGATGAAAGATAGAGGGAGATATCCAATTAGAGGAGAAATTTAAGGGAGAGAAAGATTGAGAGAGAAAGAGAGAAACGAGGGGGGGGGGTTACAGAAGGTATAAAGTGATACATGTAGTTTACGGGTTAAGAAAGTAATGATAAAGAATATAGTAACATCAAGGAAAGTATATTATTTTGCTTCAAACATAAAATGTAGATTACATAATTATACCATTGCAACTTTGAAATTTGAAAATATATAATATATACGGTATAGGCCTAGGTAGTATTTAGAACCTGCATTGTGCCTTTGAGGTATTATAAACGTGAAGTTTTCAATACATAAAGACAAAGAAAGAGACGGGGGCGAAGAATGATAGAGAAAACAGAAATGAAACGGAGGAGGCTCTATCAATAGCCTTCCTAATCCTCATGATCCTAGACCTAATCTAGACCTAATTACAATGATTTTGAAAGGCGAAGTGAGTAGCCTAGTGTGAGAGACTATAAAACATATACATGTGATGTACAGTACCTGTATGATATACTTACACTGCTCTACTTTTGTAGACATGTTGCCTCGGTAAAAACTGGCTGTACATGTGCAATCATCTAAAAGTGAAAATGTAAATCACGCAGTACACTAGCTCCGTAGGTACGTGTATCACTGCATTCACTGCATTCAATTACGACCATTCACAATACGGCGCCTCAACTCGGCTCCAATGTGTGTGTGTGTGTTGTATGTTAGCAAGCATCTACGGTACTCACAATGCAATATGTGAATGCCGACAGCTGACTGTAGGCCTAGTACTAGTAGTCGATTTCCCCCACGATTTATATCATCAAATTCTCAGCCAAAATTGAGAACAAAAATGACGAATAGTCTACATTGAAATAGTAGTTATCACACAAATACTTGTCTCTCGTGGATTTCACAGAGTTTTGAATTATGATGTGACTTTATATCGCCGCATCTAGCTAGCATCTCTCTGCTCCATCAACGATTATGCTTCACCAAAAATACTGCATCCTTGTTGACCTTACCTGACCTCTGAAGAGATGCCTTCTCATTAGTAGTCTCCTCTCCAAACCTCCCAACCCCTTTGGCCCGAATTCACAAAGGAGGTTTGTCGACAAACCTAGTTTTATGTGCGTCATATGACGCGTATTGACGCGTTTTTACAAACCAGGTTTGTAAAAAACATGTCGAAACGCTTCATATAACGCACATAAACCTAGGTTTGTCAACAAACCTCCTATGTGAATTAATTTGGGCCTTTAGGTTTTAAGATTTTTTTAATTTTATTTCGTTTCATAATATGTTGGATCTTTATACTTAGATATTCATCAATATGTTAATGAATATTTCAATACTTTTGATAATTAAGTTTTCTTTTTGAACATTTTGAGGCCTTGGAGCTATGTGGTGATTAAACAAATTCGATTATAGGTGGTTTACTAATTTGGAGATATATTAAAGGCTTCCAAGTAGTACAATAGCGCGGTACCAAGATAATTGACCAATATTGTTTCGTATTGCTCAGTCATCCGGGAACTTCAACTAACGATATCGATATCGATATGTTTATCACATAAAAAAAAAATATTTACCAAGGTACAACAAATTTTGTTATTTCGCTAGTCAGCCCGATATAGATATTATATGGCTCTGTTTTCGTGTGATACAAGAATATATTGCTCTCGGCATGACAATAATATTGGCAACGTCTCCGACTCGTTCAATATTGTCAAAGCTCAAGCAATATATTCTTGTATCACACTCAATGCCATCCAATATTATATAAGTATTGTCATATGTGTCATTGTGTTAACTGGCATGATGTCATAACAATATTTATCTTGATCGTAGAATAGCGTAGCCATAGATAAAGAAATGCCAATGCATCTACTGACTGCAATGCTAACGTATAACCCAATTTCTAACTTAAAGATTGATTTAAGACCATTTTGAGTAATTTATAATTTTGCGCATGTGCACGTATGCGAGCATTCACATACTGGTATAATATACAGGCGCGGATCTACGGGGGGTTAAGGGGGTTTAAACCCCCCCCCCCCCCTTGGGCGGCCAAAAAAAAAAAAAAAAAAAAAAAAAAAAAAAAGGAAAAAAAAAAAAAAAAAAAAAAAAAGAACGCACGCTGGAGAGAAACTCTTTCAAGTGCAAATATTGTGAGAAGATATTCAACTCATCTGGTAACTTAACCAAACACATGATAACTCTGGATATAACTGTGTATTTACTGTTACTTGATTTAAAAAGACGTTATCATGCACTGCTTTTTATGGTCTCCATTGTGTTAATAGATGCCAGGAAAACATCACTTACGGAGTTCAAATAAACACCCCAAAAAAAATCGGCTCGCCGCTTCGCGGCTCGTGGACGATGCTCCGCATCGTCATTATTTTGGTCAAACCCCCCCTTAGCAAAAAGCTAGATCCGCCCCTGATATACCATATTGCCCATCATGTAAATAACTAATGATATGAGTCAAAATAAGATTCCCTATTAATTAGAGACATTAAAGATGATTGATTTCCAAAAAAGGGGCAAAACATTGTGTTAATGCAATTTGCATTATGTCCCATTTGCAGGCCCAAAAAATGAAAAGGATAAATTCCAACGGCATTTGAAAGACAATACTAATTTAGAACTTCCCTAAAAAAATGGGGGCTTGAATTTTTAACCTAGAAAATGTCTTTAAGTGGGAAAATAACGACTATTAGTTGTTGAATCGACTTTAATAGGAGCTATAGCCAGTAAGAAATAGTCTGATTTTTCAGACCATTGTACCGAATGGTCAACCGTTTTATGCTGCGCTAAAAGATTCAATCAGTTTAATTTTGGCCATTACAAGAAATTGACTATTGATGTAGACAAATGCTCATCTACCCTTTACAGCTCATTTTATGTATATGTTATTACCAAAGAAGAGAAAAAGCAAGTCAGTCACTCAATAGTGTCTGACAGTGAAGTCTAGCAAGTAAACGGGTTCCCTTGCATAATTTGAGTATTAGGACACTGCTAACGTTTAAATTTGACAAATAGGACATACATACCATATTCATAATTCTTGCAAAGTTCTACATAATTTAATGTTGGCTGCAAAAGGGATATAGTATAGTAAATGTAACGTCTTATAGTTATAAAGTGCAAACGGACAGGTATCTTGGACCATCGAGCCGGAGAAACAAATATCAAAATCATCGGCCCGAGATGATGTAATAATCACATTGTAGGGGTAGCTAGCCTGTAAACCAATGTCAAAAAATGTAGATTTTCGCTTTGAGGTTGGTACCCTCCCCCCCCCCATTAATAAGTGCTTTCATGTTGGTCCGACCCCCCCCCCCCCCCTCAAAAAAAAAAATTAAAAAAAAATGAAGACGCTCCGTCGCACACGCAGTGGGCCAGGGAGGAATCAAAGTGCGCCAAAACTCATGTTTGGGGATTTATTTTTTATAAACCTAGAGGAAATGTTTGGATTTCCAGGGATTTTCGCTTAAATTTTATTACCAACATTTTCTCTGATGTCTAAGCTTTAAGTTGATACCAGATTTGGCTGCCCGATTCTGCCCGTTATTATGTTAGAGCCGTTTTCCTTGCAACATTGCCCCGAAAACTGTTTATTTTGGTCCGCAGTGTCAGAACAAGTGTCACGCCCCCTCGCACCGTGATTTACGACCACGAATCCTTCATGATTCACCCGCGGACCCCAAAAACCCACATTTTTCGGGGCAATGTGGCAAGGAAAATCGGCTCTAACATAACAACGGGCAAGATCGGGCAGCCAAATTTGGTATCAACCTAAAGCTAAGACATCAGAGGAAATGGTGGTATTAAAATTTAAGCGGTACACCGCGGAGATCTAAACATTTCTTTTGAATTTATAAAAAACATGGATAATTAGTCCATTTTTCAGTAAATTACCCTATGATATATCATGAAGATTGTGTTTCTATTAATTTTAACCCATTCATTCAACGAAATGAACGATCAGGAATATGTGAGAGCAATTTCATATCAATAACTTAAAAACTTCATGTTGAATTGAAAGATTTATAAAATAAGTCACTTTTGCACTAAAACTGTGAATATGTAGGATTTTGCTGTTTGAAGTAGTAAATTTATACCCTTATTGTGCATACCGGAATTAAATATTTCACTGAGGTATTCCTCTATGTATTATCTTTCAACTGGGCAAGAACAAAATTGAAAACAAAAAATCACCCAAACTTAGTTTTGGCGCACTTTGGTTCCTCCCTGGCCCACTGTGCGTCGCCCCTGCCTAGTTGACGTTAATTAGACCATGCAAATGACCTTAAAAAAATGTGTGTGTGTGCGTGTGTGTGCGTGTGTGTGTGTGTCCTGTCCGATCGAGACTGCTATGATGAGCAGCTAGTCTCAAATCCTGGTATATTTCTACTGAGTCACTAAGAGTAAGACTATGTCTGGCTCCACTGCTGACGACCGCCGCAAAAGGGCGATATACCAGTTTACTCCAGACCGGTGTGACCGCATAGAATGTAACCCGCACCGATCGTCCGACTATTAGATATCGATCGAGAGCGGACGATCGGTGCGGATTTTATCCGCGCAGAATGTCCGTGTCGGACATTCTGTGCGCGCCTCAAATGTCTGACGGACAACCTGTGCGGAAGAGGTCTCGCACCAATGGTCCGCCTGCCGCACCGAATGTCCGTACTCTAGTCCACACGTATACATAGTCAAAACAAACAGGGATATACTCTCATATCCCCCCCCCCCCTACTGAGCGACTTTTCGGCAGGCGCGATTTTCAAATTTTCGGGAGCAAAAAAAAAAAAAAAAATTGGGCCCCCTCCCATAGGAAATCCTGGATCCGCGCCTGACTACAGGTCTTCCCGGCGTGGATCCAGGGGGGCGGGGGGGGGGGGGGGGCGAGAGGGCCTTGACCCCCCAACCGCCAACAAAAACTTAAGAGAAAGAGAGAGAGAAAGAGAAGGTAAAGCGGAGAGTAAGGGAAAGTAAGAAGAGGAAGAAGAAAAGAAAAGGGGGAAAAGAAGGAGATCGGGGCGAAAGGCCTTCGCCACCCCCCTTTCAGCAAGAGAGAGAGAGAGAGAGAGAAAGAAGGAAATTTAAAAAAAAAGGAAAGGTTAAGAAGAGACAAAGGGAAAGGAAGAAGAAACGAAAAGGAGAAAGAAGGAGATCGGGGGGGGGGGAAGGGCTTTGCCTCCCAGGCTGTTGCCCCCCCCCCCCAGCAAAAAGAAAAATAGAAGGAAGAGAAGGGAAAGAAAAAAGGGAAAAGAGGAGATAAAGGGAAGGAAAGAAAAAAAAGGGGGAGGGGTATCAGTTGCAGTTTTCCCGCCAACAAGTTGGGGATCGGGGGCGGCAAATGGCCCTTGCCTCCCCCCTTCTACAGCAAACTTAACAGAGAGAGAAAGGAAGAGAAGGGAAAGGGAAAGAAAAGAAAGTTACGGGAGATCAATTGTGCATTTTTCCAACAACGCAGTTTGGATCGGGGGCGAAAGGCCTTCGCCTGCCCTCCCTTGTCCCCTCAGCAAACAAAAAGAGAGATAGAGAGAGAGAGAGAAGGAAGGAAAAAAAGTGAAAGAAGAGAGAGGAGGAAAGGAAGAAAAAATGAAAAAGGGGAAAAGAAGGAGATCGGGGGGGGGACCAAAAAGGGCCTTGCCGCCCATGCTGTTGCCTCCCCCCCCCCGCAAAACAAGAGAGAAGGAAGGAAAGGGAAAGAAACAAAAGAAGAAAAGAAAAGAAAGGATATCAGTTGCAATTTTCCTGCAAACAAGATGTGGATCGCGGAGTAAGGCCTTTGCCTCTCCCCCCCCCCCCTTCCCGCCAACAAAAAAGAGAGAAAGAAGGGAAAGGGAAAGAGGAGAGCTAAAATGGAACACAAAAGAGGTAGAAGAAAAGAAAAGGGTGAAAAGAAGCAGAGATCAGTTGCGATTAATCCCACCAACATCGTGTGGATCGGGGGGAGGGGGCAAAAGGCCCCTGC